TGTGTCGTGACATGTAGGAATGACACGTACACGCACTGCCTTTGGTCTCCTCAAGCTTCAGGTCTGCTCAGCAGACTTGCTGTCAGTCATCCCATCCTCACAGCATCATGGAATGGTTTGGGTGGGAATGGACCTTAAAGCCTGTCCCGTTCCACCCTCTGCCCTGGGCAGGGACACCTTCCACCAGCCCAGGTTGCTCCAGGTAGCCTGGCTTTGGACACTTCCAGGGATCCAGGGGCAGCCACAGCTTCTCTGGGCAACCTGTGCCAGGGCCTCCCCACCCTCCCAGGAAAGAATCCCGTCCCAGTATCCCATCTGACCCTGCCCTCTGGCAGTGGGAAGCCATTCCCCCTTGTCCTGTCATTCCATGTTCTTCACTCTTTTTTTTTAATCAGTGACATTAGAAATAGGTGTTTTGAGCTAGGAAAATGTGCAAAGGGAAGGCATTTCTAGGAAGATTTGTGGAAGAGGTCTTTTATTTAAGGGACCACTTCAGTAATTTGTAGGGCCTGGCAATGGCTGGGGTTTGTTGTAGATGACTTTGAAGCTCACAGTAGATAAAGGACACAGATGAAATGCTTTTTCATAATCCAAGAGCTTTAAAGAAAAATGTACTGTGTCTAAGAAGATGAAGTGAAAGTGTGGGTGTTTGCAGACATGAGACACCTGAGCAAAAGCCAAATTGGAGCTGTTCCACTGTTTTCAGTGGTTTTTGGATGTGGCCATAATCCAAATTCTTATCTTTGATACATGCATATGCCTGTAGCTGATTTTCTGTCGGAGTCTTCCATGCAGAACTGTGGCCCAAATTTGGCACAGTGTCCCCAGCTGAGATGCACGCAGAGTATCTAGTTCCTATTAATGTTAATTAATGAGTTGGGCAGTGCATTTCCATTGAATTAATGACCATCAGGGGAGAAACTGATGGCTCAAGGCATGGTCAAAGGCAATTAACCCCACCCAGTGATTAATTCCCAGAAATACTTAGAACTGAGCTCATAATTCTAGTTAAATGAAGAATAACCCACAGTGTCTGCGTGTCTTTTGATGGGTGGCAGAATTTCAGTGGATATGTCCAGAGTTTTCTGGGGAACTAACACTTTCTGACTAAGGCACAGAATTCTAGAACACAATCTGTGCAGTTGCAGGCAGAACTAATTGCATCAAAGGAAGCCCAAACTGCTGTCCATGAACCTACTTAACTGAGCTTGTGTCCTGCCAGGCTCACACGTGGGGAGCTGCTGGAATTTACCATCAACAGGGTTGTCATCCAGTTTAGTTGGAATTTATGAGTTTGAGAAGAGGAAGCTCGAGTTTTTTCCCTCTTCCTAGTGGAAGCAATGACTACTTGAAGGAGAACAGACTCAGAAATGCCAAGAAAGTTGGGCTGCATTTACAGAAAGGCTGCTCTGGATTTCCATGTGGCACTTGGCATCGGGAATGAGCACCTTCCTTGGTCCTTACTTATTACTTGGTCTTATTCAGTGATTTCTGTTGTTAATAGTGTTATCACATCTTTTTTGGCATTAAAAACAATGCTTGATACTGCAGGCTTAGCATTAAATAAAGCCAGGCAGGCCAGCTGAAGGAAGCAGGTGGAATTCCAGTTTAGTATATTCATATGATTTCATTGTATTAATTTTTTTCACTTCTCTCTCCCCACTGTAACTTTCTCAGGCTTTTGAGAACAATGAATGCTACTGCACTGCATTAGGGGAGCTGTGTGCATGTGTGTGGGGAAAAACGGTTATAAAGATTATAAAATCCTGTGCTTTTTTTCTGCCCTTCCTGCTATTACTGAAATGTGTGTAAGAGTAGGGAGAATCATGGAATGGTTTAGTTTGGAAGGGACCAGCAAGCTCATCTCACTCCACCCCCTGCCATGGGCAGGGACACCTTCCACTAGCCCAGGTTGCTCCAAGCCCCATCCAAGCTGGCCTTGGACACTTCCAGGGATGGGGCAGCCACAACCTGAGTTAAGGCTGAGGTTTGCTGAATTTTTTAATGAGTCTTATTTTCAGGACAGAATTTTTTACCTGTTTTCTCCCCTCACAGAGGATGTGTATGAGTAGCTCACACCATTCTTATCCCTTTCCTGAAGTGACTTCAAATATTAAGTTTTGTACTGATACTGACTTTTAAGTTCTATCATCAAGTTATTAGTGGTAGGAGCAAATAAAATTGGTTTGATTTTTCTCAACAAAAGAAACATCTTCCTTTTTTTAATGCTTCTGGTCTCCCTTTCTGACACAGCCCTACAACATTTGCTGGCCTGTGTGCCTGGAGTAAGTGTTTAGAGATGTTCCATTAAGATGTTTGGTGTCATCGGACAGGCAGATGTTATGCAATCTGAGCTGGAAACTGTTCCCACATGCTGTGCAAGGCCAATTTATCACTCTGTGTATGGACTTGCTTTATGCAGTTTACATGATAAACTCCTTTCTTTAATCCCCGCCACTCCTAATGCCTTTCACAAGGTCTAAATGGAGTATCAGAGAAGTTAGAGGGAATATTTTCTGGCTTTGAGTGGTGGTTCCTGGGTTTCCCAGCTGTCCTCTGGGCAGCAGGCCCAGTCCCACATACCTTGCTCACAGTAGTTCCACTGGAGTTATCTGCCTGCTTATGCAAGGGAAGAGCAGGATTTGGCACAGAGCAAAGAAATGACAAGAGTTCAGTAGGAGTAACATGAGAGAAGAGAAATAACGTCCAAAAGCAGGCGGCACAATGAATTTCATTGTGATTTACACTCCTAGGGAGCTGTTACAGCTTCTTTTTCTGTTTGGTTTTTCAGTCCCCCCCTCAATCTCTGGCAGCAGTGACACGGTGACAGTGGTGGTCAATAATCTGGTAAGGCTGGAGTGTGAAGCCAGAGGCATCCCTGCCCCCATCCTGACCTGGCTCAAGGATGGCAGCCCTGTGTCCAGCTTCAGCAACGGACTCCAGGTACTGGGTTCAGATCCTGCTCTGCCTGTGCTGTTCCCTCTTGTGGGAGGAGCCTTCGAGGTTTAATGGAAGACAGTAAGTTAGAAGATCTGGAATGGAAGTGTAAGGCTACCATGCTCTGGGTTATTGGTATGAGTTTAGCTCCAGTAATTGCTGTGTGAAGTATATTGAAATAAAGTGGTTCTTTCAACTGATTTCATAGTGAGTAAGAGTTTGCATCAACAATTTTCCACTTACTGGCAAGGAGAGGAAATTGGACTGTATTCCTCTGCTGAAGAGATCTGTGGAGCTCAAGATCACATAATAGCTCATTACATACTATAGTAATTCAGAAAAAAAACCCAACCTTTGATATAAGGAGATATTTTAGAGCTAAAAGCAGAGAGCGTGGTTGCTCTTCTAAAGCTGATTTTTATGATCTGCAAGGGAAGAGGGGAAATTTGTGTTCTGTGGAGACAGCTCAGGGCACAGACTAAAGGTGTGACAGAATGTTTGAAGCTGGGGAGAGGGAGGGATGTCCAGATCCTGCAAACGCTTGTGAATGCCAGGAGTCCCCTGTGGACTTGCCTGAGGTTAGAATTCTGCTGTTGCAAGTCTGGATCAAAAGAGAACACTGGGTGCAGGGAACTGCGGGGAGCAGGGAGATGGTGGGAAGCAGCGGTAGTACAATATTTAATTTTGAAGTGAAAGCTAATAGTGTAAAAGGTGAGCCAGGGGAACTGAGGTGTGTCCTGAACGCGTTGCAGGTGCTGTCTGGGGGCCGGGTGCTGGCCCTGCCCAGCGCTCAGCTCAGTGACACCGGGACCTACACGTGTGTGGCCGTCAACGCCGCGGGCGAGAGCCAGAGGGACACCGAGCTGCGGGTGCTGGGTGAGTGTCTGACCCACGGCCTGGCAGGAGAACTGAACACTCCAGGGCCCAGACCTTGAGCAGAGCAAGTACAGGTGGTCCCAACCCATGATGGAGGAGGGGTGTGTGCACAGAAGTAAAAATGTATTTATGCATATAGGTCCCCATGTATTAAAGCCTGCAGGTGCAGTCTGCTGTCTGTCCTTGAAGAAATATTATTGCAATAGTGGCTTTACAAGTTGAATACATAGAAGCTCATTTACAAATGATAGGAGAAAATACATGTTTGTGTAAAAAACATGTAGATCTGCCAGGTGAAAGATGTTATTTTGGCCAGAGCTCAGTGGTGTTATTGCAGCAAAATGAGTCACTGTGAGTTCCCTATCCAGCTCTGCGGTTCCCATCCCATCCTCAAGCCTTACCCTGCCTGCCTAAATGGTGGGGACTTTTTTGCTGCTGATAGTGACACTGCTATGAGCTGTGTTGGGCACAACCAGTCAACTTGGTCTCTTCCAAGGAGAAGGAAATAAATCTTTGGTCAGTTTTCCAGATTGTGTCAATAAGTTAACTGTGAAATCTCATTGTCTGAACTCGTATAAATTCCTCCTCCCTTCTGAGTTGGACAGGTTCTTGGGCATATTGTGGGATTATTGGGGTGTCTGTGCAGCGCCAGGAATCAGACTTTGATGATCCCTGTGGGTCACCTTCCAACTCAGGACATTCTATGATTCTGTGCTTTCTTGTAATTTGTGTAAGTTTTATCCTGATTTGTTTGTGACTTGTATAAGATGCCTTTTCATATTCATGGAATCCTGCAATGGTTTGGGTTGGAATGCACTTTAAAGGTCATGCAGTCCCACCCCCTGCCATGGGCAGGGACACCTTCCACCAGCCCAGGTTGCTCCAGCCCTGTCCAACCTGGCCTTGGACACTTCCAGGGATCCAGGGGCAGCCACAGCTTCTCTGGGCAACCTGTGCCAGGGCCTCCCCACCCTCCCAGCCAGGAATTCCTTCCCAATATCCCATCTAACCGTGCCCTCTGGCAGTGGGAAGCCGTTCCCCCTTGCCCTGTCCCTCCATTTCCTTATCCCAAGTCCCTCTCAGCTCTCCTGGAGCCCCTCAGGTACTGGAAGGGGCTCTGAGGTCACCCCATCCCATGTTCTCAGAGCTTGTTGTGCTGTGCAGGTTCTGAGGAGCCTGACCTCCTGCACGAGGGCTGCCAGGAGGGCTGCCAGGGAGTGTGACTGTGGCAAGCTTTGAGTTTCCTTGGACAGCTCAGTGACTGTGGACACCAGTGAAATGAGGATGAGCAATGATCTGCCATTTTGCGGTACCAAATGTGGAGAGGGAGTTTTGGAATCACAGCACCTTTGTGTTTCTGCTTCTGCTTTCAGTGGGGCAGTGCAGAGAGAACTGGTTGGACTGTGCCAGTCTCCAGCGTTGTGGCAATCCTGAGCATGACTCTGGAAAACCTTGCGAGGAAAGTTAGAAGTTTTCCAAGTCAGGGATTATTCACTTTTGAGTTTGGCCTTCAGAATTGACTTCCTTGGTTAGGATACTCCCAAATCATGGTGATTTTTGCATCTGCAAGGGGCAGTTCAGAAATCCAGGACTGTGCCATGGCAAGTGAGCCAGGTTAGCCTAGGCTGGAACATTTTATGTCCAGAACAAGGAGTATCGAGGTCTCCTTTGGTGGAGGTGTGTATGTCTGTGTAGCATGGCACAGATATGTTTGTCAGTCCTCTTTTGTGTTCTGGAAGCTCTGTCCATTTTAACCAGATGAAATGAAAAGAGTTAGGTAGGAGTGGTATATGTTTAAAATTAGTGTTGTATTAAAAGCTGGCCAGAGTTGAGCTCAGCTGCAGGGCCAGCTTGAGTGAAGCTGTCACCAAAAAGCAGTATTGCTTTTCAGAATTGCCTCACAAGGGCAATCTAATTAAGAAGCCACAGGAGGAAAATAATTTGGAGTGCAGTTGGAGCTGGGTTGGTTGGAAATGTGTGGTGTGCTGAGCCAGGAGGTGGAACATTTGGGTAACTTACAGTTACCATGAGCGTAATTAGATTAATTTTAAACCCTGTTCCTTCAGAAATAAATGCTTTAATGTCTGTCTCTCTCTGTTTCACAAACTCAGTTTCCTTTTGAACACATTTCAATTCATTTAGCAGAGAGGAAAAGTAATTGGTGGAAAAGCCTTTGGAAACAAATTTGCCTTCTGCAGGAATGGATCAGCTTCCAGCTCTCAGTTCCACAGCACTCATAAAGAATCTGGGCCTTTGTGAGTTCTACAAAGAAAGAAAGATAAACAGATTTCTTTTCGCTTACTCTATTTCTTATCCACAGGGACCAGGCTTTTCCCTAAATTATTTCCAAACTGTGGAATCAGCAGCTCTGCTGAGAACTTCCTGGGCAAGGAACACAAAGCTTTATTGTCAGAGGGCTTTTGCAGGACACCTCGAGAGCTGTGGGCACCACTCTGGGGCTCGTTAGGATCCAGTCACTTGGGTTCAGAGGGAAGCCCGGGGTGTTCTCACTGACAGTCCCTTCTCACCCCAAGGTTTTGTGCAGTCAGACCTGCAATGTCTGCAGGAATGGGTTGCAAAACTGAAAAGCAAAGGCAATGTGACAATAAAGGTTCTTATATTTGGCCCTGGTCAACTTTCTGGGGATAATATTTCCTCCGTTGTCTTTTTGACTCCAGCCATGAACATTTTCCCCATGGAAAATTGCTGACTTGCTGTTCCAGGTTCTCAGTTGCTTTGTTTTTCTTGTTGTGGAAACACAAAATTTAAAAATGGGAGAAAAAAAATGTGTTTTCTTAAATCCTGTCACTGTTCAAGAACAGCTAATGGGCTTCCACTTAAGTGTCCAGTGGTTTTGGGTTGTTTTTACTTCTACACAGAAAACTTCTATTCCAAAAGCTGATTTTTCTACTGTATAATTGGGAAATAATAGTGTAATAATGAAGTTATCACTGAAACTGCAGGACAAATCTAAATCTAGTGCTCAGTGTCAACAACTGCAATAAGTAGCAGATCCCACACAGAGCAGATAGGCAAACTAATTGTAGATTATGACTTGATGATTAAGTCATTAACACATTGATTTGCTTGCCAACCACCTAAGTTCTTATTCTGCCATCTGCATTTGGCCATCTCTGGACAACATTCATCTCTAAGTTGGATTTCTCCTTAAGGCCAGCTATCCTTCTTGGCACTGTCTGGACCAGCTTAAGACATTTTCAGCTTCTGGGGCTGATTATTATCTTGTGAGCCTTTTCACTCAGCAGCTCTTTTTCTTTTAGCAGGAATGCATTTGTGTATTGGGGATTTTCCTTTCTAGCAAAGGTTCAAGGTGGTTTTTTTAGCTAGTCCTGGCTTATCTATATGATTTCTCTGTAGCTGATACCTCCCTAGTGTGTGTCTTGTGTGGAGGATATTCTGTAAGTAAAAACATTATTCTTGTGCTTTTTGTGATATAACGGAGACTTCAGTTGTGTGTCAGAAAGGCAGCAACTGTTATTTTTGCTAATTGAAGTCTGTTAACTCCATGTTATGTTTACGTGGGGAAGCCTTCAATGTTGAAAGGTCCTTTGTGGTAGGACAAGAGGAAGTGGCCTCAAGATGCACCAGGGAAGGCTCAGGTTGGATATTAGGACAAATTCCTTCACTGAAAGGGTGGTCAGGCCTTGGCACAGCTGCCCAGGGCAGGGGTGGAGTCCCATCCCTGGGGGGATTTCCAAGCCCTATGTCTGTCCCCTTGGGACAGGGGTCAGTGGTGGCCTTGGCAGGGCTGGGGGGTGTTTGGAGTGCTGATCCCAGAGGGCTGTTCCCAGCTGTGTGATTCCATGGCTGCAGTGCCCCCGGACATTGCGGGCGAGGAGCAGAACGTGTCGGTGCTGGCGAGCCAGGCCCTGGAGCTGCTGTGCCAGAGCAACGCCGTCCCCCCGCCCGTGCTCAGCTGGCTCAAGGACGGGCAGCCCCTGCTGCAGCAGCCGGGGCTGAGCATCTCCGAGGATGGCAGCGAGCTCAAGGTATGTGGGGCAGGCAGGGGGCCCTCCTGGGGGCTGCACCCGCTGCGGGGGCACCGCTGGAGATGGGGCAGAGCTGGGCTCTGGGCACTGCTGGAGATGGGGCAGAGCTGGGCTCTGGGCACCGCTGGAGATGGGGCAGAACTGGGCTCTGGGCACCGCTGGAGATGGGGCAGAGCTGGGCTCTGGGCACTGCTGGAGATGGGGCAGAGCTGGGCTCTGGGCACCGCTGGAGATGGGGCAGAGCTGGGCTCTGGGCACTGCTGGAGATGGGGCAGAGCTGGGCTCTGGGCACCGCTGGAGATGGGGCAGAGCTGGGCTCTGGGCACTGCTGGAGATGGGACAGAACTGGGCTCTGGGCACTGCTGGAGATGGGGCAGAGCTGGGCTCTGGGCACTGCTGGAGATGGGACAGAACTGGGCTCTGGGAAAACAGAGTCATGTGGGAGGAGTGAGGGGGCTCAGAGACCTGCCTGTCTGGGGACACACTGGGCTGCATTGATACTCTGTTAATATTCAGGGAGACAGATGTAAAGATAAAATTGATCCCTGAGCCCCCTGTCCCTGCAAGTTTCCCGTGTAAGGATGTAAGGAGAAGAAATGCAGGTTTTCCTTTCCCCCCAGATCGAAGGAGCTCAGGTGCAGGACGCGGGCCGGTACACCTGCCAAGCCACAAATGTTGCTGGGAAGACCGAGAAGAACTATAATGTCAATATTTGGGGTAAGACTAATTAAAATTGTTGTGTGAGACACCAAAATCCTCTCTAGTTCATCAGCACTTAGTTGCTGAGGCTCCTGCAGGGGGATGTTGTTGTATTTGCTGTACTTGAACAGGCCCAAGTGCTCACATTTTTCAAATTGCTTTAATTTAGTTCTAAATTAATAATAGCTACTTCCTAGGCCTTTGTTGGGCTGGGTCTGCATGCATGAGTAGTTAGAGCTGTAACTATTGAATGGCATCCCTGCCCACGGCAGGGGGTTGAAATGAGATGATCTTTAACTGTCCTTCCAACCAAACCACTCTGTGATAACCAACTGGCTTTGTATCCATAGCTTTAGTGCCAGTTAAAGTAACCTACCAACCTTCCACTCATTTCAGTGCTGAAGCATGGACTTTCAGATAAATAAAAGCTGCCTTACCTAGATTTATTTGCTCTACAAGGTTATCAGTGCTGAATCATAAAGATAGCTTTAGTTAAATTTTTTGTGACTCTCTGATGAATGTGACTTAAGACATTATTTTAATAATTGATTTTTTAATTTTTTTTCCTGCACCATCATTTTCTTCCCACATGCAAATTGAAATATCTCTTTTTTGCTATTATAAATCAATTTCTTGCTTTGAAATCACACAGCTAAAATTATCTAAAAGGGTTGTAACAGTAAGATCACAATTTTTAGAACAGAATTCAATTTTGTCATTATTGATTAAAAATAAACATTCATGGCATTTAAATTAGGGGTGGATATTGTAGCACTGTGCCCTTTTCCCATGCTGGAGCATATACCGTTTGCTGCGTGTGTCAACCTCTTTTTTTTTTCAGTCTCTACTGTTTCCATCTGATGAAAATGCCTCATTCCTAGAAGGCATCAGAGGAAAAACATTGGTCCCTTTTATCTGCAGCTGCTTTAGAGTCCCAGAGCTGTAGAGCAAAGCTGTCCCTGTGCTTGCAGGAGGGTGTTTGAAGGGATGGGGTCCACACCTTGGATGTGGCAGCCAGTGTGCTGATGCAGGAAAACTTCCAAGGAAAACCATAGGCTGAATTTTAAAAGTCTAGTGATGATCTCTGTAGGTTTGCTGGCTGAGCCAGGCTCTCAGAGTTGACCTAAGTCCCCAAGCCAGTTTTGTTCAGTGACACCCATTCAAAGTCAGCCCAAAATAAAGCCTGTGCATGCAGCAGAGCCTGGAAGCTGGAAGGATGGATGCAGTCATTCCCAAGTGTATTATTCCCTACCTAGGACCTGGTTTGCATTGTCAGCAGGAGGATGCAATCCTTGTCATTGCTTCAGAGCTGAGTGGGGCAGATTTGTCTGAGGGTCCTTTGGGGTTTCCTGCTGGCTGATGAGCTGCACTTTCTAATGCTGCAATTACTTGGCATCTCTCTGCAGTGTCCCCAAGTATTTCTGGCTCAGATGACAGCTCTCAGCTCACAGTCACTGAAGGGAGCATGATAAGCCTGATCTGTGAGTCCAGTGGCATCCCACCACCCAGTCTCACCTGGAAAAAGAACGGTGGGTAACTGTCCATTGTCTGTTTTATAAAGCCAATGGGATAATTCTGACCTGAGGGTTATTTTTTCGCTTGTGCATGTTTTGGATGGTGTGTTCTGAGGAGCTAAAACAGGCAGGGATCTACACAGTCCTGATGTGGAGTAAAATGAACTCCAGTAGTAGATAATTCCCTTCTCTCTAACTCACCTCTGCTTGGATTAGGTGTCAGTATTCCTAAAGGAGTGCAAGAGAAGCCCAGTGCAGAGATTCCTGAACTGACAGACAAATGGACTGTGAAGGATTTAATCCCTCTCAATGTGTTTATTTACCCTGGGGCAGCAGGACAGCCCAAGGTGTCCCTGCCCATGGCAGGGGGTGGAAATGGGTGATCTTTGAGGTCCCTTCGAACCTGAACCTTTCTGGGACTGTAAGACTTGTTTGTGATCCCAGGCAGCAGGGCTGGGACTCACTGGGAAGCCCCGTGGAGTTGAGGGTCTCTGCCCTGTGATCCACTGCACAACAGACAGATCCTCTGAGTTGTTTTTAAATTTGCAGCCAGGGTAACAAGTAACAAAATGCATCGAGTTGTGATTGCTTTTGGGCTTTACTGAACTCTTTCTCTCATCCCATCTAAGAGCAGTCTACACACCTTTTTGCTTTAGGGATTAAAGTAACATTGCCAAACACCTTTTTATGAATTGCTAGACAAAAGCAGGTTTTTTTTTTAGCACATTCCTTTAAACAAGGACACTTCTGGAGACAGAATGTAAGACAAAATAAGGTGTTGTACTCTTTCAGTGTGGTAAATCCTTTGTTATTAATCAGTCTTTCCTAGATCTGTGTTCATCTAGGCTGCACATTTCAGTGTGGTGTATATCTGTACTTTAAGTAATTTTGCCTCGTGAAAAGAGCAGATTTTAATTACAAAACACTATTTCTAATGCATAACATTTTCAGAGAAGATGGAGTTTATCAAGTTCTTTCTAAACCCTGTCTCTTGGAAGCTAAAAAGGATTGTATGATATGTTCTAACAATTCATTGCAAGACCAGCATGTGTACACTTCAGTGGCAGGAAGGGGTCTTAAACTTGTTGGAAAACCTGGAAAAGCAGTTACAAAGGAGGAGGAGGAGTAGATTTGTCAGCACATTCGACATTTGGTGCACTTTGTGGAGAAGATTTTAAATACACAAGAGGGAAATGAAGATTGAGCTTGTAAGAATGATCCATGGCAGGTGCATTCCTTCTGTCAACAAGTCCCCCTGTGATTTGGAGAGGTTAAGATTCAGCATCTGAGGTCACCAGGACTGAAAAATCTGCTCAGAGAATGTGCTGGTATTTTGCTGTCACGTTGCTGCTGAGGATTTCCTGGGCAGGAGGCTGTGCACGTGCCCTGTGTGACACACACACAAGTGGGGTGAAAACTAAATCAGGTGTTTCTAAACGTTGGCTGTGCTGGGTGAGACAATTCTGGACTGAAAAAGGAGTTACATTTTATTGGAAGTGCTGAACTTTGTGCTCAGTGGAGGTGTCCAGCACTCAGGGAGGATGTGAGTGACTCACTGTGCTTTAGCTCAGGGTGCTCTGGGCCGTGGAGTCAGCACTAAACACGGGGAGTCCTCGGAATCTGCTTGGGTGAAGTTCTTGCTGTCTGGGAAACCTCTGACAGAGCAGCTGTAAAATGGGCAGCTCTGCAGCTCAGTTCTTTTGAAGTGAGCCAGTGGACCTGACAGCAGGTGACACACGTGCTCCTTACCCTCTTCTGTGGCTGGATCTGAGAGAAGGTGTCTTGCAGGCTCTCCCCTAGTGCCGGAGCTGTCGGGAAGGGTGCGGGTGCTGTCTGGGGGCAGACAGCTCCAGATTGCCATTGCTGACAAGTCTGATGCTGCATCTTACACCTGCATTGCTTCAAACGTGGCTGGGAGTGCCCAGAAGGAGTACAGCCTGCAGGTGCACAGTGAGTACCAGGAAAGTCCTGATCGTATGTGCCAGTTCTGCAGTGGTGTTATGGAAGTGTGGTCAGTGCAGTGATGTTGAGCTGCAGGGTTTTCAGAGGCTGAGGGCTGACTGTGGGACAATTTAAGGGTAGTCCAAGAAGAATGTTAAGTAATTAAAATGTTGGCAATCTGAACTCAGAGCATGACCAAGACATTGCAGATCCCTGTTGGAAGTGCATGATTCCAGGGCTGTAACCTTTTAGGTAGCATAACGTTTCTTGTTTCCAAACTGCAGCAGTGATGACAACTAACTGAACTGAGATTTCCCTTTGTTCCCTTAGATTTTACTGTGTTTTGGTCAGGAACAAAAGGAGGTGTTTTGAAACAATCCCATGAAAAAGAAAATCTCCCAAAATCAGTAGGGACTGACAGCGTTTGGGGGCGTCATTTTTGATTTAATTTTTTCTTCCTGTTTGCGTTTTTAGAATTGCAAGTTAACATTTAAAAAAAAAAACGTTTTTACTTTGTGGGGTGGAAGGAGGGAAGAAGAGACAATTTATCTGTTCTTGGCCCTTCTGCTTGTTACTCTGTTGAGAAGCAGGTGAGGATGCTGAAGTGTTGCTTCCAGTTGACTCTGCGCTGTTTGTTCTTCCACAGTTCGACCGACTATCCTGAACAGTGGCCCCCACCCATCGGAAGTGGTGGTCACGCAGGGCAGTGAAGTGTCCCTGGAGTGTGAGGTGCAGGGTGTCCCTGAGCCAGCAGTGACGTGGATGAAGGATGGGAGGCCCCTGGCTGGGGGGGACGTGCTGCTGCTCCGCGGGGGCCGCGTCCTGCGGCTGGAGCGCGCCCGCGTGTCCCACACCGGCCACTACCTCTGCGTGGCCTCCAACGTGGCGGGGCTGGCTGACAGCAAGTACCACCTCAGTGTGCATGGTGAGCCTGTGCCAGGGGGCAGGGGGCACAGGGACAGCCACATCCACCCGAGGCTGTCCAAACAGCAGTTGTTTGTGCAGCTCGGTGCATCCGTTGCGGGGGGGCAGTTCCACCTGTGGGTCACTGGTGCGGTTTCAAAGGCAGTGTTATAAAAATCCAAATCCAGTTGTGTAATTCCTGAATATTTTACAGTCTTAGCGCTCTCTCTGTTAATATCAACCTACCCCCAGCTGCTTCATCTCCCAAGGTAACCAAGATCTTGTACCATTTTATATGATATTGGAGTGAGTGTCATGATATTTTACTGTGGGAGACAGAAATTAAGGTTTAATGGAGGCGGCCCTCCTAGTGGCCACCACAGGGGTATTACCTGGGGACAGCCAGGGTCACAGGAATCTGAGCATCAGGTTCTCTGATTTTACACAGTCAGAACACTTTAAAGATTGTACTTCCAGGTATAACTCATCCAGTTGGACTGGTGGCATTGATCAGAACGTCACATTATCTTACAACACCTGTAATGCTTTTGCAGATGACCTTTTGCATTTCATCAGACATTGAATATTCATGTTCTACTGCGAGCACAGGAATTCTTATTAAAAACAAGAGGCCAAAATTACTTACCAGTTTTATTCTTTGTTTTGAATATTTGCTGTGCTGTATTATCAAACTTGTGGGTAGTAAAGAGAAACTTCAAATCTCCTCAGTGCTGGAGGATATTGGTGAATTCTTGACCCCAGGCCTTATGTTCTGAAGTAGGAACTGTAGAGCTTCCTCCAGAGTGGAAATATTCTTACTCCTAGCAAAGAAAAGCTAAAGATCAATTTGTGGTAGTTATTTTAATAGGGGGTTGTTCTTTCCATGAGGAGATTCTGTCATAATTCTGTCAGTGCAGGAATTTTCCCCAGTGTGTCATTTGATGCTGGGAATTATAGTTAGTGTAGACTGGACAGGACTGCTATAACCGTTATTTGCTTTTAAGCCATAAAATAAAGGTGGTACATAGAATTTAAGTTTATTATTTCCATGCCACTACACAGTAAGAAATAGTCATATGTAATATTAAATGTCTCTGTTCTGTAGCTCCTCACTTGCCAAGCCTAACTTGGCTTAGTGAATTATAATTATGTTTTGTGAGCAAAGTTAATTTTGATTTGTTCTGAAGTGTGGCTTTTCTTTGCTCCTTTCTGTAGTTCCCCCAAGTATTGCTGGTTACCTGCAGATGCCTGAGAACATCAGCATTGTGGAGAAGAATCCCATCTCCCTGGTTTGTGAGGCCTCAGGAATTCCCTTGCCAGCAATAACGTGGCTCAAGGATGGATGGCCTGTCACCCTGAACAGCTCGGTGCGAATCCTCTCAGGTACAAAAGCTGCAGTTATTTAAATAAAAAATGAAAAAGGGAAAGGGCTGAAGGGCCCTCTGCATCTACACCTGAAAGGAGGAGGTTTGGTTTATGAATCTGTAAGGAGCAGGAAAGAAGAGAAATGGTTACTCAGTGCCAAGTTTTTACCTAAATGGGGTCAGATTGGCTGAATAGCTGAAAGTTGGTACCTGCTTTGAGTGTATGGGCCAAAGGCTGGTGATGTTTGTGCTGTGACATGGACTGAGCCACAGCTTTGGCTGTTGGTGTGTGTTAGTGCAGAGCTTGCTTCCAGAAGCAGGTCAGGTGGCAGCACCTCGCTGTGTTGGGAAGTGGCAGGACTGGCTTGGCAGCTGCACCGAGGTTAAAGGGGTGTTACAGGAGGAAACTGAGTTGTCAGCAGCCCCTGAGATGACAAACTGGGTACCAAGCAGGTGCCAACACATTTTGTGTTGCCTTCCCATCTGTTAAGGATCAGCTTTCTGGGAATGTGTCCCTGCCCGTGGCAGTTGGAACTAGATGATCTTTAAAGTTCCTTCAAACCCAAACCATTCCAGGATTCTATAAGTTAAGTATTTGGTGACAACTGAGGTGTTTCTTTGAGCTTGGTTTGCCACTCACAGCTCGAAATCTCATGAATATAAGTTTTGATGGAGTTTCTGATACTCTGGCATAGCCACCACGCAAAGCCAAGCCATCCTGCAGCATGAACTCAAGAGGCAGTGAATGGAGCTGGAAGGTATTTAGGAGCTCAGCTAAGACTGGATTTAGAGCTGAAATGTTTCAGGAGTTTTTAATCAGTGGGACTTTTAATGTTGCATGTAGTCCTGGCCTCTGCTTTTCCATTTTTACATACAGCACGTGGAAAAGGAGTGGGGGTGTGATTATTATCCATATAAACCCGGCAGTGGGAGCTGGCTGCATTCCTCCTCGTGTGAAGTTGCCATCAACACAAATAACATCTTCTGGGCTTGATTGTTTGTGTCCTGTCTGTGGGTTTCTACACCCACACCACTATCACCACCCGGATCACAGATTGGGAGGGGGGAGACAAAAGGCTGTTTATTGTCTCTGGATTTTGGCTGCTGCAGGAGGGGAAACACGCCAGGACCTGGCTTTGTGTGCCAGCAAACCTTGTGCTTCAGAAAGCTACACATTGTGGGAGTGAAGTGTAACCATCATGGCACTTGGAACTTTATTTGTGCTTGTACAAGCATAAAAACCAACAAAAATCCTCCTCTTCAACTAATTTAGGAGTTCAATACTTTGCCAAAGCAAGGTTTTGGTTCTGTTGACTGAAAACATACTTGGCATTGCAGATAATTTCAATGTGTGGACACACTGCTGGCAACTTTTAGTGGGCTAATTCAGATCACAGAGTCTCCTGAGCTGGAAGGGACCCACAGGGATCATGGAGCCCAACTCCTCCTGGCCCTCCACAGGGACCCCAACAGTCCCACCCTGTCCCTGAGATCATTGTGCTGATACTGATGTTTCATTTGGATGATCTTCCTGGGTATCCTCTAGGAAAAACAAAGGAAAAACATTCCACTGTAGCCCACCTGCTTTCCTTGCAGCCCCTGCCCTAAGCTGCACACTGGCTTTAGGAAGGACAGAAGCTTTAATTGAACTAAATATATAAAATCCTGTGCTGCGTCAGCACTGGGGGCCTGGGTGTGTTCTGGTGTGTGATACCAGGGCAAGCCTCAGTCTCCTGCAGCCAGGTACCTGCTTCATTTTGCTGCTTCTGGGGCCTTGTTCAGGGGGTGGATGGGAGAAGGGATCAGGGAGACATGAGGCTGGAAGAACTGAGCCTTCCAGGCAGAATTCCTTGGGCAGAGGCACATCATTAACCAGCCGGGCAGTTTCTTCCTTCCAAGCGCATGAGCAGGAGCATCAGTTCCTGGGCTCTGTGCCAGCAGTGACCCCTGGGGACACCCACAGGCAGGGGATGCCCATTTAGGATGTGGTGTATGGTGTGGGAATGCTAATGCCAGAGCTGCTGGCCAGAAACTGGGAAAGGCTGCAGGCTGGCCACCACCTTTGTTTTCACACTCAAATGCTCCCTGAGGTTTGTTTTGCTGTTCCTCTGCCAAAACAAGAAGAGAAGAGAGGTTACTGTGCCATGGCAAAGCAGGGATATTCCTGGTCCTTTGGTCAAACATACTTGCAGATGTTATTCCTTTTAAACTAACATATCTGTGCAAAGGTGACCTGACAACTGCTCTGCCACCGTGTTAAAAGGAATCTGTTATTTCAAACCACTACATGTAAACCTGTTCTGTTGTCACTTATTATTATTATTGATGGCACAATTATTGGAAGTGCTAGAAGGGAGGAGTGGAATTTTGTTCCTCATTTATACATGTGAAAATATCTTTGGGGCATTTATAACATTAAATGTTTATAAAAATAAATTTATTTTTATGTGTAGACACGCCCCCCTCCTGATGAGGCTTTATTATTTTTCCTGCATATTCAGGCAGATTCTCAGTGCATGGCCAAGCACTGAGGTGAATGCCAGTCCTGCTGAAACGCTGGGTCCTGTCCCAGCTCCCTGGCCAGGAGTACCGGCGCAGATCCTTCCCGGTGCAGCCATCCGGGGCTCTGTGATCCGGGAGCTCCGTGTGCGGGTGGTTGGGGCGGTTTGGGCTGAGGGGAGCGGGCAGTTTGCTCTGCAGGCCGTGGCAGGGCAGGCTGTGTGACCTGTGCTGTGGTGCCAGGGGGCCGGACGCTGCGGCTGACGCACACGGGCGCGGGGGACGCGGGGCGCTACACGTGCCTGGTGACCAACGCCGCGGGGCGGCTCGCCAAGGACTTCCACCTCGCCGTCCTGGGTGAGTACTGCACCAGCTCTGGCACAGCACAAAGGGGGCTGGGCACTGAGGAGGGGGTCTTTGCTGGTACTGTAAAAATGTTAAACCCAAACATACGTCCTTAAGGGAAAAAATAAGTGAATTTGACGCCATGGACAGAAAATTAGGTTGTAAAGAGAAGGTTCTTCTACACAGCATCACAGAATCCCAGAATGGCTTGGGTTGGAAGGGACATGAAAACCCATCCCATTCCACCCCCTGCCATGGGCAGGGATGCCTTCCACTAGCCCAAGTGTGCTCCAAGGGAATCCAGCCTGGCCTTGGACACTTCCAGAGCAACCTGTGCCAGGGCCTCTCCACCCTCACGGGGAAGAATTCTTTCCCAGTATCCCATCTAACCCTGTCCTGTGGCAGTGGGAAGCCATTCCCCCTTGTCCAGAGTCCCTCTCCAGCAATCTTTAGGCACTGGAAGGCACTCCAAGGTCACCCTGGATCTTTCTCTTCTCCAGGATCAACAGTCTCAACTAATACAGTGCAAACCTTCAGTCAGTAGAGCCTTTGGTATGACAAAGGATAGAGACCAATGGGTTAGGGGGTGATCCTGCTGACATATTTAGGCTAGGAGTGGTCCAGCAGGCTCTTTAGAGGCTATTTGGAACCATTATTGTGCAATTTGGTCACATTGCTTAGTTTTAAAAAACACTATGTTTCCCAGAAAACACAGCTTTTTGTTTTAGTAACTATTTGTCGTTTTTATCAACAACTCTTAGGCCTGATGCAGGTTGTCTTACAGCATTTCTGTGTATCATTTTTCTTCTCCCTGAGGTGCTGAGCACCACCAGCCCCCCTTGCCTTCAGCTGACTCGGGCACAGTCAGCCTGTACATGATAACTCCCATTCATGTCAGTTCATGTTTATTTGATGAGCTCATGGAAGTGTAAGTGTGGTAGAATGGAAGAGATGGATAAACACTGGAGAGCATTCATTGTCTGACTATTTTGTTTGGAGGGTTTTAGTAGCAGGGTGTTCTTGAGGGTTCTGGGAACCTCTATTGCATAGGCTTTGTTTGCCTTGAAGAAAAATGCTCAGTGAAGCTGACTTCAAGTGGAAAATTCTATTGTTCAGTCTTCTCTTCCCTCCCCCCAAAAATTCCTTTGTCTTTCTAGAGGAAAGTTACTGAAATGTGGGCTGATGGTGGCACAGAGTCCTCACCACCTCACTGTCACTGGGAACTGTACAGGGACATGCCAGGGGTTCTCTGGATTGTTGGAGGAGGTGCAGCAGTTTGCAGGGAGAGCTTGGTGTAATAAGCACAATATTTGAAAAAGGTTTGGTGTGGCTTTGCTATGTTTTTGAAATTCATGTGTTGACATATTACTGTATTATTTTGGGGCCAAAGCATGAGTTGCTGTGTTTGTTTATGAATAGTAACATTTGGCCCCACTTAAGTCCTTAACTTGAGGATTTTAAGTTATGTTTTGCCCCCATCTGTTTCCTTCACTCCAGTTTGAACCCTTCATAAGTATCAGCAATCTGGTGTAACATTATTTTTCTCTGTTGACAGTGAATTCTGCATATTCCCACGATTCTTATTTTTATAAAACTTTGGCTTCCAACATAGTGCTAGATCACAAATGTGCTACTGAATGTATATTTTAATTCCTTTCTCTTTAGGTCTTCTGTCTATGAAAGTTTGCATTTTATAGGGTTATTAAAGTATAAATCTGTCTCCTTAGTGTGGCATTTTTGTGAATAAACTTCCCAAAATCCCATGGAGACTGAGCTTGCTTTCTTATAAGTCTCCTTTTCAGCCTGTTGTACTCCCTGCCTGCTTTGATTTGTAGTGCCACTTTCTTTTGGCCTCAATCTACTGATGCTTCTATTTAAATGAAATAGCTGATCTCAGCTCTTAACCACCACACCTTAATAATCTGTCCTCCCCCATCCAAAAGCACATGTTGATCAGGATTACTTGGAAACATCATCCAGGTCAGCCATACAGTAAGAGTTGCCTTGCCCAGAGTTGGCTGTTTTGGGGTGGGATAGGTATTTTAAGGGTTTTATCTTCCATTTCCCTAGAGAAAGGTAATTTGTACCACAACAAGATGCCTTTAGACCTACACAGTTTGTTTATTCCTGCATGGAATTAGCTGTATTTGCATAAAACACAGGTGTGCCTTTACACAGCATCCACTTGTTGGGAATCTGTTGTATTGCTCTTTGTTTTTTATGACAGTGATTGTACAACCAAACACAAACAGTGGTGAGTTTGTTTTCCACATCCTGGATCCCTCCTGCCAGGATCATCAGGCAGCCTGTTGTGTTTAAATGTTGTGAGTAACCCTTGCTGCTGTTGTGTTCCTGCCCGTTTGCAGTGCCTCCAGGGATCGTGGGGGAAAACAAACTGGAGGATGTGAGAGTGAAAGAGAAGCACACAGTTACCCTGACGTGTGAAGTGACAGGTAAAAGAACACTCTATTACTTATCTTTGCTCATCAAACCCATGGTGTCCATCACTTTTGGTGCTGAACATCATCTTCTTAATGGAATTTTCAGTTGAGTGGAATTTTTAAATCTCAGATTTAACCCTGGTGCTTAGAGCAGGACTAAGCACTTCTTGTAAAGGTAGCATAAAATGAAACCAAGAGGGTAGTTACTGTGGTATTTCTTCTCCAAAAGCCTGTGGAATTTCAGAGGAGGTTCAAAGTCTTCAATAATGCATGTTCCAGAACATCTCCCCAAGGGGTGTGTTTTAAAAGGACACCTGAAACTATATTTTTGTGTTTCTCAGAAATCTTGGCATGCCCTGGAGGTTATATCTGCCACTTTCTTTCCTGCCCTAAGGGAGCCCAGTGCCACAGATCAGCTGGCTGAAGGATGGGCAGCCTGTGCCTGAGGATGGAGAGCACAGGGCTCTGTCTGGGGGGCGTTTGCTGCAGATCTCCAACGCCCAGGTCAGCGACTCCGGGCGATACACGTGTGTGGCATCCAACGCTGCCGGGGACAGGAGCAAAACCTACAGCCTGAACGTGCTGGGTAAGGACCTGGGCTGGCTCCTGCTGGGAACAGCCATCTCAGGAGGAAAGATAATCCCACTGGAGTTGTGTAGTGCTTTAGTGACAGCAGTGTGCAAGTCACCTGTCTACAGCGACAACTGTATAGCTTAGGAACTGATGGTGGTTCAACAGAAACACCAGTGCTGCCCCTCAGACAGTACAGAGCTGGAACATAGGGAACCATAACGGGATATCATCCCTGTGGAATGGGCAGGACAGCACATTGGCCTATTGTGAGTCAAGGAAGGAACATCTGAAGAGCCCCTCAGATTGTGATCTCTGCAAAAAACCTGTAACCATCTGCAGTTCTCTTTGTTTTTTCCATGAGGGCTATTGCACAACCAAGAGCAAACAATGGCCAGTTTGTTTTCCATAGCCTGGATTCCCAGGCTCACCCCTCCTAACAGGATCATCAAGCAGCAGCTCTGCCAGCTGCTGCACAAGGAGTGATGGCTGAATTCCTGGTGACCTGTGCTTGACAAAGGAACGGGGGGGATGGATTGCACTGACTTGGGATCACTGCTGAGTTCAGGACAAAACATTAAAGCAGCTGAGTGTTGTCTGCCCTTGGGTTTCAGTGCTCCTTGTAGGAATGCCTCCCAGCTAGCTGAGGCTGCAGCCAGATTCCTAGACTGACCAGGGACCAGAAAATTGGCTGCTCAGAGAGGCCCTTCCTATGGTTAATGATTTGTTGTTCCTAGTGGCTCCAAGCATCGTGGGTGCAGACAGCCAAGGGAATGCAGAAGGTGTCACCATCATGCTCAACAGCCCCATCTCCCTGCTCTGTGAGGCTTATTCCTACCCTCCAGCTACCATCACCTGGCTGAAGGATGGGAATCCCTTAGAATCCAACAGAAATATCCGCATTCTGCCAGGTAAACTTCTTGTTATCAAGAAATAGCATTACAGGTTATTCTTTTAGCATTTTGGTGGTTGTTAGACTTCTGTGAAAAATCAAAGGATATATTTCTTTTAAGTACAATGCACTGGCACAGGTTGCCCAGGGAAGCTGTGGCTGCCTCATCCCTGGAAGTGTCCAAGGCCAGGTTGGATGGGGCTTGGAGCAACCTGGGCTAGTGGAAGGTGTCCCTGCCCATGGCAGGGGGTGGAACTGGGTGATTTTTAAGGTCCCCTCCCACTCAAATAATTTTGTGAATCTATGTTTGTACTTTTGTAGCACTTCCCATTCCAATATTTTCGGGTGCTTCACAATTATCTGATTATTTATTTGTATTTTATTTGTTCTCAGGTATTTATTCTTTTGTTCCATAAAGCCAAGTGATGGCAAAATTCATATGAGTTAATAATGAATATAAATAACTTGCAATTAAGTGTGGAAATAAGAGGGACAAAGATATAAATGACAGCATTAGTAAATAGAATGAGGTGGCATTTTTCTAGGTGATTAATAGTTAGCCATTTTAAATTTGTGGAGTAACTCTTGCCTGGCACATCCATGGAGGTGCAGAACTGGAACAAGCGTCACTGGTAACTCTGCAGTAATGTAGATGAGCAGGTACTTCAGCCTTGTTAACTACAAGTGCTCAGAGGAAGAATGAACCCTGTCTAAATATCTTCAAGGAATTTTGTGTACAGAACTGTGTTAACAGATTTTCCAGGAATCTATAAACAACAGGAGCTGTGATCCACAGCACTTCCCTGAGTTATGTACTCCTTTGGTACACATGATGTAAGCAGACAGGGTTTCCTGCTCATCTATGGGCACAGTTTGGACAAAAGGGGTGAGAATATGCTGCAGAAAGTATTTCAATAATTGGGAAGCAGGAAGAGGTGCTATTAAAGCTTGGTGTCTCTTGGCAGGTGGGAGAACCCTGCAGATCCTGAGTGCCCAGGAGGACAGTGCTGGCACTTACACCTGTACAGCCAGCAACGAGGCTGGAGAGACCTCAAAGGACTATGAAGTGAAAGTCTACAGTATGGAAATACTTCCTTTTTTTTTAATTTCTTTGTTTGTTTGGTTGGTTTTGTTTGTTTTCATTCTTCCATTTCCCCCACTGCACTGTTCCTGTCCTGGTGAATACAAAGGTTTCTATTAGTGGCTTTGCTAAGCAAACATCTGCATTGGTCCGTGGCATTGCTGGAGGAGAGACACTAGAAAAGTTTGCTGTTGCATCCTTTGCAATGCTGCTGTTGGGCTAAAAGCCTTTGTACCACCCAGGGGGAGGAGATGGAAGGAACACTCAACTGCAGTTCCTTCTGGAATGCTTTTTTTGGTACTGATTTTCAGATCAGACCAGTGCAGCACAATGGGAGATGTGAGCAGAGAATCTCCTGAGCACAGAAACTGTTTCAGAAAAACAGTAGGGGAGGGGACCCATAACACCTATTGGGAAACTTTCTTGAGTAAGGTGAAACAGGAGGATACTGTTTTTATATCCTTCCATAAAATTCCATATGCACAACAGCTTTCCCTTTCCAGGCATCCTGTCAGCACATTGTCCTTTGAGCATCTGTGCCTAATACTCAGTTTTAATGCTCAAAGTCTTCATTATGAGCTCAGTCAACCATGATTTTTACCTTTTTTTTAAATTTCCTAGTCTGAATTGGAGTTGGTTTGCTCCCTTACAGTAACCATACTGTTATTTTAATTACACTAAGTCCCTAATAAGGCCCCATTGGATTTGGAATAATAAGAAGATGACAAAAGAGTTCATTACTGAAGCATAGCTGTGTAACAACGTAAAGCCCCCCAGCCCCAAGTGCCATTGCAACTGTCAGTTATTAGGGTTCTGTAAGCATTAGGGAGAGCTTAAAATTTCCAGTTGGAAAAAAAAAAAAGAGTGGAAAATGCTTTGAAAGCATCCAAAATAATTAAAAAGATATTATGAGACCAGGCTGGGGGGCAGCTGAACAATTTTGCAATGTTCTGGTTTCCTTCTGGTTCAGAAGGAAACAACATTTTGCAACACTGGGGTTTCAGTGGAGTGGAAATGTTGAGTTTTGACCAGCTACTTTGAGTGTGGACTTCAGTTCAAACATATGTTTCTGGGAATATTAGTTTCCATTAAAATGCTTTTTAATGGTTACAATAGCCTGAACTTTATGGCATTCAAGCCAGGCACATAATGAAGTGCTGTAGTTAGGTAAGCTGTAGTCAGGTTTGCATGTTTAAAAGTGTTGAACACGGTTTTATATATTCTTACATATAATAAATGTACTAAAAATGGTTGAAAATGCATGCATATATATATCTTTATATATAAAAGTAAGAATTTGGCTGTGGGCAAGAGGCAGTTTATATAAGGGAACTTGCTTTCCCTGAGGTTATCATCCAGGCTTTGCCTTTGTGTGGTTAATTCTGAAATGCTGCAGCAGACAGTAAGTCAGGACAGTCTCTCCCTTTGTTTTTGTGCAGTTCCCCCCACCATTACCAGAGGGGATGTCTCAGGGACAGGGCTCTCCCCCAAGGAAGTGAAGATCAAAGTGAACCACAGCCTGACCCTGGAGTGTGAAGCTCAGGCCGTTCCTGCTGCTGCCATCAGCTGGTACAAGGATGGACAGGCCAGTCACAAACTTCCTTCCTTCCCAGGGGGATTTTGTACAGACACAGTTTGTATTCCTTGTCTCTCTTAACCAACAGCTCACTGGCACTTACCCCCCTCCTGCTGGTAGCATCACCCCTCACACATCTTGGGGTGTTTGCTGTGGGCCAGACCTCTGCCAATGCACATCCTTGCTTTTTTTTGGGTGCCTGGCAGTGCCCCGAGCCACCAGTGCTGGAGTTTCCAGGCTGTGCTATAAAGAGGGAGGGCCCTGCCTGGCAGGAGCATCCCACGTGTTACCACAAGTCCCTTGGCTGTTGTGTAAAACCCCAAAGACCGTGTTACAGATGGTTCCCTCAAGTGCTGCCCTTGCAGAAGTTGCAGAGAACCTCCCAGTTGGTCCTGGCAGAGCTCACAAAGCCACAGGAGCGCGTGGCCCCTCAGTGAGGGCGAGGCGCGATTCCTGCCGCACACAGCGGTGTCCCAACGGAGCGGCACAGCTGGGGAGGGCAGGGCACAGGGCCCCACTCAAACACCTCATAAATAAAGAGAAAGAAATGGTGCAACTCCTGTGAGAGAGGAGAGAATAATCTCTTGCTTTAGCTCTTCTTGGTAGGGCAATCATCGTGGAATCAGCAATTCCTGGATTCACCAAGCACGTGGGAACAGCCTGGAGTCACAGGGAGACTGTGGGGACAGCCTCGGGTTCATTGAAGCATGCACTGTAATTCTGGGATCTCCTGGGAGTACTGATTGGATTGCCAAGGAAAAATTATGTTGGAGGGGTTGAGAGGTCCCTAAAAGCAGTGGCTCTCCACAGCTGGCTGCCACAGGCACAGCAGCTGCTTCTCCTTAGGCTACCCTGGCTGAATGGCTTTCACTCCCATCAGGGACTGACTGAACTGTCCCCTGCAGGCTGGGAGTTCAGTGCCAGCTCCATAACCGTGGAAATGTGGGATCCCAGAATGGTTTGGGTTGGAAGGGACCTTGAAGCTCATGAAGTTCCAACCCCTGCCCTGGGCAGGGACGCCCTCCACTAGCCCAGGTTGCTGATGCAGATGCACACCTGAGGTGTCCTGTTTTCAGCCCTGAGACAGACAGGCTGTGTCAGTGCAGTCCCTGCTGTCCCCTGTGATGTGTCTTCAGGGACAGTAACATGCAGTGCTGTGTCTCTGTGCTGCTGCTCTGTCCTTTCATGTTCACACCACGTCCCTGCTGGGCAGCAGGTCCAGTAGGGTGAGTCACATCCAGTTGTTCACCTCACAGAACACTGCTGGTTTTCCACATGTAGATCTCCCATCAGCTCATTGACCTGGCCAGTGAGTTCAGAGGTTGGATCAGCCTGATCTAATCCAGTGTCAGGAGAGCCCTGGTGGGGATGGCATCACTCTTCTCAGCAGCATCTTGTCTGGGGTTAGGAGTGATGTAAACCCCCATCCTTGAGCAGACCAGCCACCCCAGTCAGGGTGAAGATGCAGTTTCTGACAACCATGAAAAGAAAATTGCCTCCAGGACCTTGGAGCTCGATCAAGTTTACTCATATTACTTCCACAAATGTGGCTATTTCTAGTGTGTGTTTTACTAGGTATTAATTTTCATATAAAATTCCATTACAGCCACTTAAGGCAGATGACCATGTCCTGATCCAGGCCAGTGGCCAAACTCTGCACATCAAGGAGGCCCAAGTGTCCGACACCGGGCGTTACACGTGTCTGGCGTCCAACATTGCTGGGGAGGATGAGCTGGAGTTTGATGTCAATATACAAGGTGAAAAGAGAATCAAATTCTGCTAACCTCCTTTTCTAATCTCCTGAGATGTTGGAATTTATAGTTTTATATCCTTTACCCCCGTTTGGTCTAATCCAATACTTTTGTCTTTTCTGTGATTTTTATTTCATGTATATTTTGCTGATCTTTATACAGTATTTGATTATTCTTTTATATGTTGTGAAAAATGGAGCTTTTCAGAAGTCAGTGGAATGACATAACAACTCTGGTCTTCCTCTAATAACAAGAAAAGGTTTTTGTTTAACTCAAACTAAGACATCATGTTTTATTTCTCTCTACTGAGTAGTATTTAGAGGCCCCAGACAGCAGCATTCCATTGGCCTACACACTCTGTGTGAAAACAAGAAAACAATCATGAGTAATTTCTGAAAATATAGACAAAATGAGAACTTGAGTGAAACCAGATACCTTATTGTTTCAGTGGTGTTGTTGATTGATGTCCTCTGGGTTTGGTAGCAGGTCTTCTTACACTGTTATTTATTAGTCTTCAGAAAATGCTCAGTAGATTGCTCAGTTGTTCATTCTGATGAGAAGAACTAGAATTTTCCTGGGTAACTTAAATTGGGGGGGAAGAGTTGATTTAATAGAGTTATTTTTTTATTGCTTTTATTTAATGTTTCAATACCTTTTCAGTTCTTGACTTTAAAACTCACCATTTCTGCTGTAAAATGTGACCATTTTTCTTCTCCTTTGTTGTAGTCCCTCCTAGTTTCCAAAAGCCTTACAGGGAATGGGAAGCTGGGAACACGGTGGATGGGGGAAGAGTTGGAGAAAGCAAAGATGTGATTGTGAACAACCCCCTCTCCCTGTACTGTGAGACCAACGCTGTCCCCCCTCCCGTGCTCACCTGGTACAAGGATGGCTCTGCCCTGAGCTCCAGTGACAAAGTGCTCATCCTGCCAGGTGGGTGTTCAAAGGGCCCTCTCTGACCTGAGGCCACCAAGGTGAGCAGGCATGGGGCAGCTCTGCTGGGAGGAGAGCCTGGGGGAATTGGGATTGTCCAGTGTGGAAGAGAGAAGCTTCAGGGTGACCTGACTGTGGCCTTCCAGGGCCTATGGGGCTACAGGAAAGATGGAGAGAGACTGTTCACAGGGATGGAGGGACAGGACAAGGGGGAATGGCTTCCCACTGCCAGAGGGCAGGGTTAGATGGGATACTGGGAAAGAATCCTTCCCTGGGAGGGTGGGGGGGCCCTGGCACAGGTTGCCCAGAGAAGCTGTGGCTGCCCCTGGATCCCTGGAAGTGTCCAAGGCCAGGCTGGATGGGGCTTGGAGCACCCTGGGCTGGTGGAAGGTGTCCCTGCCCATGGCAGGGGCTGGGACTGGATGAGCTTTCAGATCCCTTTTGTCCCAAACCATTCTGGGATCCTATGATGAAGAAATGGCCTTAGTGCTGGTATTTGTATAGTAATAACGCACTTTTCCCTTTCAGAACATTCCTTTAATGTTCTTTTCAGACTTTGTTGGCTGGAAATGTTTCTCTCCAGTCCTTGGCCTTAAGCTGTTTCCTTTTATTTAAAAAAGTAGTCACTAAAATGGTGTGAAGGTCACCATTTAACTTTTATAGAGAATCACAGAATCCCAGACTGGTTTGGGTTGGAAGGGACCTGAAAGCTCATCTCATTCCACCCCCTGCCATGGGCAGGGACACCTTCCACTGGACTAGGCTGCTCCAAATCCTATCCAGTCTGGCCTGAAACACTTCCATGTGCTGAGAAATAAAATACAGCAATACCTTCTCTCTGATGTGTTCCTGATTTATTTCCTTATTAAATTTGCTTTGACAAAATTGTAATTGGAGTAGAAAAGCCTTTTAACCAAGCAGTGAAGCATGGAAATCATGTTTCCAGCAGAAAAATGGCCATGAGCTCCTACTTAATGTCATGTGGGCAAGGGGAAGGGCTGCCTGTAGTCCTGGAGTCTTGCTGTGCAGAGCTGCTGTGGGATGGGGGGTGTAAAGAAGGGCAGTGGTAAAAGGGTAATGCCTTCTTGTCCCCCTTGCTCATCTGTTGGGAGAGCAATGACAGCCACTCCCTGAACGTGTTCCTAAGATGTCCTCTCCTTCTGAAGTGATTTATGTGGCAGTGCTTTAATGAGGAATAGAGTGAAAAGTACCTTTAAGCTTACAAGTGAATCTTTTGGAACAGAATATTCTGTGCTTATATTTCCTTTTGCCTATTCTGTGCCATCTAACTGACAAATATTTCTCTTCTTGATGGAAGAATAATGCCTGGCTGCAAATTGCTGCAGAATGTTACTCCTTTCTGTGGAATTAATTGCTCTTTTCTAACATTCCACTATGAACATGGCTCAATTCCAAGGATCCGCCAGTAGAAAAAAAGTAGCTGCAAAATAAAAACCTTTAGTTACTTATAATTCAGACCAAATGCTTGACCATTCATAAATTTGCATGCTCCGGTCTCTGGTGGGCCGTGGGGTGGGAATGATGGGGTTCCCTGGTGTGTGTTGCTTGCAGGAGGCCGAGTGCTGCAGATCCCGCGGGCCCAGCCGGGTGATGCCGGGACTTACACGTGTGTGGCGGAGAACGAGGCCGGGCAGGACTCCATCCACTACCATGTCCACGTGCTCTGTGAGCTCCCCTGCTTCCCCTTCTCCTCCTAGTGGCAAAAAAAGAGTTCTCTGCTCACTAAGGGAGCGTTGTAGCCCAGGTTTCCTTCATGTTTTTAAAGTCTGTGTATTTGTAAACTATTAAATCGATGAGTTTAGGGTGCTGGAGTGGTAGAACTACACAGAATTGTGTGAAAATGTTGTTAGCTCAGAGTGTTTCTAGGTTGTTATTCTTATAGGAACTCCATTGTTACCCCTCTCACCCTTCACCAGAAAGAAAAGTGTAGGTAGAAATCCAGGTTTTATCTTGGTATCTCTTGTTCCTTCTCCAGCTTCCCGTTGAAAAGTCTGACCAAGGCTTTTCTCTCTCTTTATTTTGGTCATCATTTTCTAAAATGCCTGCAGAACTCCCAAAGGCTGAAGGAAATTGAGGGTTTAGATCAAAGAATGCCTGCACAACCGTGTTGACCATCTGCTCTGTCTGTTGATGCACTCAAGGTTTTGGCCTTGGGAAACACATTTCTTTACCTCCATTGCTGTGTATGCCACTGAAAATATGGATTTATTGCTATGAAGGGGTCATGCCTCGGAAATCAACTTTTATTTTGATAGCAAAGAACATGATGGGCTAACTGGAAAATGAGTTTCCACCTCTTCTTCTTCCTGGCTGCTGTGAATAAATGTAGTTGTGCTGCAGTCCTTTGAGTTATACTGAATTGTTCCAGCTGAACTACTCCCGGGGTGTTTTTATCTTTCACTGGATTCACTGGAGATTTCTCTTCTTCCTTCTGAAAACCCAGTCTGATTTAGGAAGCACCCCTGAGAGGTGCTGAGTGACTGTGTTCCCTCTGTCTGCAGCTCCCCCGTCCATCAGTGGAGCCGAGGGTGACCTGCCTGAGGAGGTGACTGTGCTCGTGAGCAGGGTGGCAGTGATGGACTGTGTTCCCAGTGGGAGCCCCTCTCCAAGCATCACCTGGCAGAAGGATGGCCAGCTCCTGCCAGAAGATGACAAACACACCTTTTTGTCTAGTGGAAGGAGGTTACAGGTAGCTTGTAGTGCAAAACTGATTTTTGGCTTCACAAACACAAGCCAAACTGCCCATAAACACAGATCTGTTTGGTTTTGCTGAGTGTGCAATCCTTGCTTTCTCCTGCACGGTATTGCAAACATAAGGAATTTTTGTCCCTTCTTCCTCTCTCTTATTCCCATGGGGTTCCCTTAGACTCAACTGTTTTGTGGGGTCATGCTGTGAAACATTCATTAAAATCACTTGGTTTAAAATAATATTTACTTTTGTGGAGAAAATAGTGTATTCTGAACAACTTTCCCTTTCTATCGATAAATTGGGTAAAACTATCAAACCAATTAGAGAGCTGGTCTTAATCCTTCCCATTTGATTCTTTGATAGTGTTGTCTATATGTTAGTTCCACAGCCATATGTTCTCTTTTTTTCCTTAGATTTTGAATTCCCAAATAGCAGATACTGGCAGGTACATCTGCATTGCAGAAAACATAGCTGGAAGTGCCAAGAAGTATTTTAATCTTAACGTTCATGGTAAGTACAATAATCCATAATTTGCTGTCTTCCATCAAATACTAGTTCAGCTTGGTGTGTGAGTTTTGGAGTGCTCAGGCACACCCTTGGCTTCATGTCAGGGAATCATCTTACTGGGTGTGATGGGCATTCTGACACACCAGAAATCAAGGATCAGTTTAAAGTACCTTGGCAACACGTGGCTCTTGATACCACATGGCTTTGGCTCCTTAGAGGCGTTCCAGAAAGGTGGGAATTGTTTTTGAGGGAGCCTGGTGTAGTGGCTGTGTCTGCTCACCCTGTGGGGGTTGCTGAGCTCTGACATCACAAATTACAAGTTGAATTATAGTCTGTTTTGATGTGTTCATAAAATTAATTTTCCAAGGAAATTAATGGTTAGTAAGCATTAAATGAAGATACACAGAGTTGTAAAAGGTTGCTTTTTAGAAATGTGCCCTTTGAGTTCCTTTCTGTTCTCTGTTTTTGGTTTTGTTGTGGAGTTAAAATAAGTTTTGGCCTTAAGCACCAGAAGTCTAAAACAAATTCAATCAAGAAATTAGGACATACATTTTTCATAAAAAAAATAATACCTCCACCACGTTCCCTTCCCTCTCTGGGTAGCTTCAGAAAACCAGGACATCTCTAATTAACATTTCAGAGTAAACCCAACCTTCCCCTTTTATTTCTGCCCATTCTCCATCCCCTCACGTTGGGATTTCCATCCCGAACTGCAGAACAGAGGAGCATTATTCCCACCAATTCCTGTGCACCATTCCATGGTTAAACCTCCCAGGGAATACTGGCAGCTCCATCCCTATTTGCTCTCACAGTATGATTTGCAGACTTGTATCCCAGCCTTCTCCATGGGGTTGGTGTCCTTTGTCACTCCCTGCCACTGGCTAAGCCTCTTGGTCCAGTCTGGACAGAAAACTAGGGCTGTGTTCTCTCTCTCACTGCAGTGCAGGACCAGCATCCCAGGAATGGGAGGATTCAGGTTATTCCATACACAGTAATTCCCCTTTTCCTCATTTGCATACAGCAAATTTACATCCTGAATGGCACAGATTTATAGCCCTTTTTTCTATTCAGCGATACAATTAGCCAAAAATGGTGTTGTCATGGGAAGAATTTGCCCTGGAGTCATTCTTTGAGAAGTTATTTTCTTTTAATGGCGTCTGTCCAAATTTTCTGATGTGTGAGTTTTGTATTGAAATCAAAATATTTCCCTTTTCTTGACATATGTGTTTTAATTTAAACTTCTTGTCTTTAAAATATTTGTTTAGAGTGACAGTAGTCTAATCCTCTTCTCGTAAAAGAAATATTTGCCCGAAGCTTCAATTCTAGCTCAACAGTATTACCAATTTAGGTCTATTATTCTTAATACAGTTTAATTTGAAAAATTAGAGTGCAGTTGTTCAGGAAGGGACCACACAGGGTGAAGCACTGAGGGAAATCACTAAGCACCATGATCTGTGTCTTGTCAGTGTCAGAAAAAAGGCTTATTTCCAGCATTTTTGTGTGTTTCTAATGGAACTGCTTTCATAAATTTCAATAAAATACTAAAGATGGTGTTCTTTAAGAGGTTGGAAAAATCACTTCTGATCTCCAAGGTGAGTGATAAAACTAACAGAAAACCTTTTAAAACATTGAAAATAAGCACCCAGTTTTAAAATCTCAACCTCTAACCTTAATATAGAATAAGGAGGTAATTTGCCTCCTGAGTGCTATATAATTGAGCCCATTACTGCATCTGTGGGCACATACTGATAAATTTGCATATGCAGATTATTTGTGGGGGCTTTTCACTGAAGAAATTGAAATCACCCACTTTTTAAGTAAGTTACATTCAAGACAGCTGAGATTTGGCCCTGTATATTGAATTACCCACTGCCAATAATCACATCTGTGGCAAAGGAACTGTAAAAGTAAATAAATATAAATAACTATGAAATGTCATCAGATCAGAATTCTCCACTTAGTCTAGTGAACCATTTTATGCTCTTTATCAGGGAAATATCCTTCAGTTATTCCAAGCTGAAAAATATGGACTGAATTCCCCATTTACATGGACTCCTTGTTTCTCCAGTGCCCAGAGGAGCCATAAACTTGCCTTAATGACTGGTTTGTGTCACTCAAGTGACAGCAAACAGCTGGAGAATTTCGGGTGGAGATGGGCCAAAATACTTCAATGTTTCTGTCTTTGAAGAAGAGGAATCCATGTGTTCTTTGGAATGATTTTTCCACCCTATAGAGCCAAAAACATGCTTTTGCTTTCCTCTTAAGTGTTTTATATATCCCCACTGCAAAACATGGCAACTAAAACTTGGGGGTTATTAAAAGGAAGAGATTTACAGTCATTTTGTTTTAAGTCATTCTTGTAGAAAGGTCACATGTCAAAATATTCTTGATTTAAAAGTGCTGGGACTTGTGAGCTTAAAAAGTGCACCCCTTGGAGCAGTGGTGCAGGCCAGGATTCTAAAAGTGCTTAGCTCACTGTTAAACAACAGGTTTGTGTGGTTACAGAACAGCCCTCAACTGAGGCAGGAGGAATCATTTTGGGTTCTCTGTCGTGAGAAAATGGACTACTTCAGGAAGAACAGGAGCAATAAGAATTCAGGAAGGAGTGATAGTCATCCTGCACATCCTGCCACGGGGAATCTGATCTGTGCCGCCTCATACAGCAAGTGTCTGATGGGGCAGTGTTGGAAAATTGAGAGGGCATGAGTCAGGACCTCGTGGAGGCTCATTAGCCTTCCCAAATCTCAAGCACAGAAGGACTACAAATGAAATAATTGACATTTTTATGAATTACAGGAGCTGGAATGACCATTAGATTGATTTCAGTCATATTTCCAGCTGCATCCAAAAAACAGCAGGTCCATTCATGGGATGTGAGAGATTTTTGTGACTTTTCCCTCTGGTGAAACCCATCAATGCAGCTTTATTTTAGGAAACCAGGATCTGGTGGAATATCCTTTGCTGATGCAGTGTAAACCTATTAATGTGTCTTTCTCTCCACAGTTCCTCCAAGTGTTGTTGGTTCTAACCCTGAGAATTTGACTGTGGTGGTGAATAATTTCATCTCTTTGACCTGTGAGGTCACGGGCTTTCCACCTCCTGATCTCAGCTGGCTCAAGAATGGAAAACCTCTCAGTTCAAATTCCAACACTTTCATTGTGCCTGGTGAGGAATCTCAGCTATTTCTACAGCCTTTGGGCTCAACTTCTGTGTGGTTTGTCTTGATAAGGCCCACGGCCACTAGTTATAAAGCCTGTTGGACCTGCAGTTTTAAAATAGCATTTGGGATAACACAATCCCCACGGGATAAATCTGCAGCCTTCCCTCTTTGCTTCAGGTGCTCGGACGCTGCAGATTCCCCGAGCCAGGCTACCAGATGATGGGGAATATACTTGCATTGCCAGGAACCAAGCTGGGGAAAGCCAGAAGAAGAGTTTCCTAACTGTCCTTGGTTTGTTTTTTGCTGTTTTCTGGAATAATACCTATTGCTTGGAAAACACAGGGGGTTTATCTGTTTTACTGGGTTGTTTCAACAAAACAAAGGCAGAAGTAACTCTGAGCTTCTCCTGCAGTGCCCCCAAGCATCAAGGACCACAGTGGAGCCTCCCTGACAGTGCTGAACGTGCGGGTGGGCACCCCGGTGACACTGGACTGTGAGTCCAATGCCATCCCACCCCCGGTCATCACCTGGTACAAGAACAGGCTCAGCATTTCCGAGTCTGCCCGCGTGGAGATCTTGGCAGATGGGCAAACGTTGCACGTCAAGGGTGCAGAGGTAGGCCAGGCCGTGGGGAGGCTGCACCTGCCACTGCTCTGCTGCTGTTAGGCAGTTATTTTCATCTGTGTTGGTATATTTTACTTGCTGTTGGTAGGAGATGTGTTTGCTGGAGGCCTTTCTTGCTGTGAAAAGGACCTCGAGTTGGCAGAAGCACAGGAGGGTGTTCATGTCTCTAAACTGTAGGATTAAAATCAGACTCCATAATGATTTCTTTTTGAATATATTTTAATTTTAGGTTTCTGACACAGGCCAGTACACGTGCAGAGCCATAAATATTGCGGGGCGAGATGATAAAAATTTCCATCTTAATGTTTATGGTGAGCACTCTCTGCATTATCTACAACAGTATCAAACCACAGACTTTGTAGATTAGACAATGCAAAACCAGTTTACAAAATATGTTAACCAAACAATTTTTCTTGCTTCTGTTCAATTCCTAGTGCCTCCAAGTATTGAAGGCCCTGAACAAGAGTTGGTCAGTGAATCTGTCAGTAATCCTGTCACCTTTGTGTGTGATGCCACTGGGATTCCTCCACCAACATTAGCGTGGCTTAAGAATGGAAAACCAATAGGTAAAACATTCTCTTCATGCTTTTCACTCCTTGTTTTCCCCTCTTTGAGGTACCACTGTGCTATTTGCTGTCTGTTGGTTGTTTCTTCTTCATCTGTCTCTACACAGACTCTCCTGGTAACTGATTGCAATCTTTGTTTGGAAATTTTGAGGAAAGAATTTCTCCCAAAAGAGATGTTTGCTCCCCGTGGCCTGGTTTGCAATGATGACTTGTTTACATATTTTCAGAAAACTCGGATTCCCTTGACGTTCACATTTTGTCTGGTGGAAGCAAACTTCAGATCGCTCACTCCCAGCTCCTGGACAGCGGGACCTACACGTGTATTGCCTCCAATGTAGAGGGAGAAGCTCAGAAAACCTATGTGCTTTCCATCCAAGGTGAGGGATGAGGGTTCAGTGAGCAGAACTGGTCAAAAATTCAGCGAGTGTGACACCGTATCTCTGCCAGAAGCACCGAGATAACATGAACATGTAGGAAAGTGGAGAATTCAGACCATTATTTTTATGATCTGTGACTGGGGGGGAAATGGTTAGAGGGTTATACTGCTAGAAATTTGCATGGAAAAGAATATTCTTAACCTCTGATTGTGAAACTTGAAGGCAGTCATGCAGGCTGTGTGCATTTGCTCCTGGTCACATCCTTCCTCCTGTGGAGCACCCGAGCAGCTTTGGAGGATTCTGGAGCACCACACACAGGTGGCTTCAGGAGCTGTGATGCCCTGTTGCCTTTCTTGCCAGAGCAAATGGGAGGAGTTAGCAAAGACATACTGGCAGAATTCCCTTAGGAATACCTTTTTGTCCCCCCTGGCTCCAATGACAATGGAATTGCCTCCACACCCAAAATGGTGGACAGGCGGCTCCCCCTCAGCACCGCACACAAAATGGCCGCCACCCTTTAAGGCCACGCCTCCTCACCACCTTTTAGGGTCAGGCTATGCCCCATTGGCTCCACCCACCTCACCCCCTCAGAACCCCCAAGTGCTGGAATGGGCTCAAAACGGCCCAAAGTTGGCCCCAAACAGCAATTTACCCTCAAGTTTCTCTTTTTGACCTCTTTCCCCCTTAATTCCAGTTTTTTAAATCCATTTCTTGTGGTTTTTACCCCAGTTTCCTTTCTTGTAAGGATAAAATGGGTTAAAAATAAGGGGAGGAAAAGTAACAAATAGTTAAAAAAGGGGAATAAAGAGGTCTGTGGGCTCCTGTGGGTCTGAGGGGGCTCCTGTAGGGTTTGGGGTCACCTGTGGGCCTATGTGGGGGTCCCAGGGCTGGGTTTTCCTCTGTTCCTAATGACTCATCCCCATTAGTTGTGCCTCTGTGTGTCAGGTTTTCCCCAAGGTTAGGAATTGAATATGAAGCTGTAAATGTTACTGAAATTGTTTGAAATGCTCAAAATTTACCAGAAAACAGGCTAGAAATGGCTGTGGTTGGGATGGAATAATCGTGTGGCTGTTAACAGGACTATGATGGTCTTGATCATAGAATCCCAGAATGGTTTGGGTTGGAAGGCACCTTAAAGCCCATCTCATCCCACGCCCTGCCATGGGCAGGGACACCTTCCACTAGCCCAGGTTGCTCCAAGCCCTGCCAATCCTTCCAGGGATGGGGCACAGCTTCTCTGGGCAACCTATGCCAGGGCCCAGGACCTGTTCCAGGTGCTGCACTAAATACTGGCACTCCTGAGCTACTGCAGTGGGACTGTTTCTAGTTCAGGTTATGTGTCTGCTGCTGAATCCTCTTCCCTCCATTGTGCTTTTCCAGTTCCTCCCAACATTGTTGGCTCTGAGATGCCGAGTGAGGTCAGTGTCCTGCTGGGAGAGAGCATCCAGCTGGTCTGCAGTGCCCAGGGAGTGCCCACACCCGACCTGCAATGGCTTAAGGATGGAAAAACAGTTGCCAGTGATGATTTACAAAGAATAAGGCAAGCAAAAATAAGCAGACACTGCTTTCTCTTTTATAATTTCCAGGCTCAGAGGGGGAATAAAAGAGGGCCCTATGAAGGGAGTGTGAGGAGGGCCAGAGCTGGAGCTTAGCCAAGTTAAGAACATCATCTCCCTCTTTAACTTCTATAAATCTTGTATAATTTTTTACTATTTTGATTTTTTCTTTCTATTTTTTTAACAGAGATAAGTATATGATATTTATTTCTTTCTCAGTTAATAAATTCCATTAAAGTTCATCAGCTTCCTGAAAGTTTATTAAGGTCAATAAGTTCCATTAAGTTCCTTTGGAGGAGAAAGATCTGAGGCATGGAAACATTTTACTTGATGCTTTTCATTACGGGTCCTTCAAAAGCCTGGCTGGAACTGAATCCTAAAACAAAGTTAAACAGATCATCTCTAGGAAAAAATTCCTAACCTATCTCTAACAATAATATTTTGCAAAACACAATGGTTCTCTCACCAAACTCCCAGGAGGATAGAGGTAGTTATTTAACCGTCCAAAATGGACTGTTTATTAGCCAGGTCAGAGGAATACTAAACAAACTCACTGTGCTTTGTGATGCTCCTTGCAGAGTGACTCCAGATGGCAGCACATTAAACATTTCCAGAGCTCTCAGTTCGGACACAGGGAAATACACTTGTGTAGCTACGAACCCTGCGGGAGAGGAGGACAGGATCTTCAACCTGAATGTCTATGGTGAGTTCTCCCAGATGTGAAACCAAAATCTGTGCATAATCTCTTCTTTGTACACACTCCCAAGGGAGAGCCCAGAAAGGAATGTCTGTCTGCAGTGGAATACTAAATACACGTGTTTCCAATTGCATGTACTGTAGATATCACAGTGTATTCCACAGGATGTTCTGTCAGTGACAAAAGCATTGAAATCGCTGGTAAATGTGTTCTGGGATAAACAGGAATTAATTCCTTTAGTGGGTTTCATAATAGAGGAATTCTGCTTGTGGTGATTTTTTTATTTCTTGTGGAGAAAGATAAACTAATGGAACAAAAAAAGCAGTATAATAGGAAATCAGCCCCAAGCATATCTTCACTAATTCCAGTCAAAGTACATCAGCTAAAAGCAGAGTGGTGTATAGGGAACTAATAGTTAAAGGTCCTGAGTTTAAAAGAAAAATGATGAAGTGTTGAAGGAAATTCTTCTCTTCCACAGTTTGACATCCAGAAGATAGTGAGTGTGATTCTTCAGCAGCATAGCGAGTGGATATTTTAATTTGTGAAAAATGTGTTTATTAGGTACAATGACTGAAGCGAAGAGGGGAGAGTTCTGTGTAGGCAGGGTTTCACAGCTGTGCAGGGATCTGTCCCATTATACAGCCTCAGAACGAATGGGAACACAGGCATGAGGTGATCTTTGATATAATAAGGAACAATCCTTAGTGACCACATCACATCTTTTGGGAGAGAATGGCTCTGCACAGCAGCAGAGAGTTTTTTTGTTGTTTGCAGTGGTTGAAATTCAAGCAATAACCAACTTAAATGGTCTTATGGACACAGCTGTCGTGTGTGATTGGGTGGTGAGTGAACCAGAGCTTGGGGCTGCACATGGCTGGGCCTTCTTTGTGTAGTGAACCCTCAAGAGCATGGTTTTCACACTAACCTATAAAACCAAAAAAACCCCCAAAGCAGTTCTGTTGTATAATCAGCTGGAATACTTAACTAGGCATTTTGAAACTTCCTTTTTTAAAAATGAAGGCAGCAGATAAATCTAGGTGTTAATAAATTAACTTTCCTCCTGTGTGGCTTCCCTGTATTTAAGTCTTATTGAAGGACATAGGTTTAAGTGCCAGGTCCTTTCTGTCCCTGGGTTCAGCCTGTCCCCTCGAGGTTGGCCCTTCCTGCACTGTCATTCTCTTCCCGTGAGCTTCAGGCTCTGAGCTCCCTCTTGTTTGCCACAGCCTGACAAACCAAAGGGAGGATTCTACTGTCCTTCTAAAGTGCATCTGATTTTAAATATGTAACTGGGTAATTTATTAGTGCTCAATATTATTGTTTTACTCTATTAAAAATGAGGATCATCTTACTAGGTTACCCGTGGGGCCTTAGGTGCAGGATTTCCTACGAGGTAACACATGAGCAATGATTTTAAGAGTCGGTTTTAATATCTTCCTTTTCAACATTTACAAAATGTAGTGCCTCCAGCAATAGCCAATAGTAAAGCTGAAGCAGAGGAGCTCACTGCCCTTTTGGACACCTCCCTAAATATTGAATGTACTGCTTCTGGGACCCCCCCACCACAGCTACACTGGCTGAAGAATGGCCTTCCTCTGTCTGTCTCCTCTCAAATCAGGCTGCTGTCAGCTGGGCAGGTTCTCAGGTTGGTTTTCATCTATTTTAACTAGCTCAGTTTTCTGTTCTCATTTACTGTATCAGCATAAATCTTCTAGTATTCTTGGAAGCAAGAGGAGAATTTGGTCTAAGCCATGCCGTAGTGGATTACATGTATTCCATTTACAGCTTGCTTAAATAAATGCTTTTCTCCTTAGACTTGCCCGAGTCCAGATCTCTGATACTGGTGTGTACACTTGTGTAGCATCTAACAGGGCCGGAGTGGACAACAAACATTACAACCTGCAAGTTTTTGGTGAGTTTCACTGCAGTGCTTTATGCAAGGAATCTTATTTCTTAATTTCTTAAACCAGTTTTCTTTCTCACCAACACCATGTTGCAGACAGCCACAAGTATATCTTATAATCACGAGGGAAGCATTGGCTTTTTAATGTGTTGGGGTTTTTCTAAATGGAAAGTGTTTTAACCCTAGAAGAGTCCTAACTTGAACTGTCACCCAGAATCCCAGAATGGTTTGGGTTGGAAGGGATCCTAAAGCTCCTCTAGTTCCAACCCCCATGACACATCACAGGTTTTTTAGAAAGAGGAATAATATGTAATTTCTCAGTGAATTTTAAGACATGAATGTGAGTGGGGAAAAGCAAAAAGGTGGCTGCATTCCAGCTGTCTTCCATCCAGCACTGCCCTCTGGGCTGTGCCGTGTGTGACCCAGCTCTCTGTGTCTCGGCAGTGCCACCGAGCCTGGACAACGCGGGGGGCACGGAGGAGGTGACGGTGCTGAGGGGCAGTGCTGCTGCCATGGAGTGTCTCACTGATGGCTCTCCTGCCCCCTCTGTGACCTGGTTTAAAGATGGCCATCCCCTGGGCCTGGGGGCTCACCTGACCTCCAGCAACCAGGGCATGGTCCTTCACGTGGTGCAGGCAGAGCCCGGGGACACGGGCAGGTACACCTGTGTGGCCTCCAATGCAGCCGGAGACACCAGCAAGCACTTCGGCCTCAGCGTGCTGGGTGAGTGTGAACCTGGGAGTGTGGCAAAATGGGAGCAGGGACATGGCACTCAAATGATCTCTAGGGATAAGGAGGGGTTTTATAGACTCATAGAATCTGTCTGTTCTATTCAGAGTGGTTTGGGTTGGAATGGACCTTAAAGCTCACCCAGTCCCACCCCCTGCCATGGCCAGCGACACCTTCCACTAGCCCAGGTTGCTCCAAGCCCCGTCCAACCTGGCCTTTTCAATAAATGATAAATGAGAGAAATAAAGAAGTGAAAGATACCTAAAAGGATGTGAATGTATAATGTAGTATATACTGAAATATGCTGTAATTAATACAACTTTATGCTATAAATTAAGAACTTTGGTTAGCAGAAATTCAGCTTGACTGGAAGATGCACAGCTGAAAGTACAACAGTGAATATATAAATATATGAATAAATATATTCACTGAAACTGAAAAATATATTTTACCTGTGACTTTGAAAACATTTTCTAATGAATAATTGCAATGCCTAAAATATGCAAATTAATAGGCAGAGGCAGATGGAAATTACCTGAGTTACTCAGGGAGTTCATGACACGCTCAGAAATAATATAATGTAGACTAATTCTACTAAGTCTACCCCCAAGGCTGTATATGATGTTTTATAGGCTTTCACAGTCAGTTGTTAGGTTTTTTGAGTCAATAAAGAACTCAAATGTTTTTTCTTCCCCAGAGCCACCTCACATCAATGGTTCAGATGAACCAGAAGAACTCTCTGTCGTCATTAACAATCCACTTGAACTTCTCTGCATCTCCTCTGGTGTTCCAGTCCCCAAAATCTCCTGGATGAAGGATGGACGCCCACTTCTGCAGACTGATAATGTTCATGTGCTGAGAGAAGCCCTGAGAATAACCAGCGCTCAGGTGGAGTATTTGTGTCAAGATGGGCTCAGATCTGCATTCCCAAAAGAGTGCCTGCCTTAGGACTGTCCTAAGAGATGTCCTAAAAACCTGCTACAAAATCACCTTGCCTTGGAGTTTCCCATACAGAACACACAGTAATATTCTGGGATGAGAGTGCCCAAGCACTTCAGCCTCTTTTGAGCTTTGTTACTTCATGTTCACTTCAGAGTTCCATAATTTTTTTATTTATTGGTGCATTGTGTTACAAAGCAGAACAATCAATGCTGGGACTAATCATTTTATGGTTTTAATCTGTCTGTGATCTGTTCTTATTCATTTTCTACCTATTTGACTCTTGTTACTATCCCTTGCTTTTCTTTTGTGATTTATAGTTCCTCTTCAGCCTTTTTTCTCTTCCCATTAGCTTGGATTTTCCTAAAGCCCTTTGATGACACAGAAAAACTGCATTTGCAGCCTTCTGGCTGCAAGTTTGGAAAAAATAGTAAAGACACTAGAAAGACTTTCAGATTAATTCATACAATAAAAGAGTCCACGAAAACAACCTTTAAAAGCCTTCACCATTAAACTAAAGACTGGATCCAACTGTGGGCAGCCAGGTGAAGTTCCTCAAACAGCAGTGGGATAGGGCTGGGGATTCATTTGTCTGTATAACAAACACTTCTTGGCTTTACAATGAGGAGTTTACAGGAGGGAGAAACCATAAAGGATTTAATGACTGTGTGTGCACAAAAGGATTTCCTTAGTACCCAAACCTGACCCTTTCTTAGATTGATCCCACTGCCAGTTTATTGCTGGAGACACATTATCTAGAGAGATTTTATGGAGGCCTGCAGCTCCTAAGCCATCTCTGAACAATCCCAGCATGGTAAAATAATGAAGTATTCAAGAACTTCATTTTCTTTCCAGGCATTCCTTATCTGCTGTGTTTGTGTTCAAGTGCTGCCTGTGTTGTTGCCATGTTTGTATTTCCTGGTTTTGCTGGATTTTTCCCACATTCTGAGGTTTCTGCTGAAGTTGTTCCTGTCTCTAGGTGGAGGACACAGGAAGATACACGTGTTTGGCATCGAGCCCAGCAGGGGATGATGATAAGGAATATTTAGTGCGAGTGCATGGTAAGTTCAGTTTAGGAAAAAAAGTTATTCCTTCAGAGTGTGAACTGCTAAGGTAAATCAACATCTCATTTAACAAGGACATACTCTGTGATATTGCACCATGTGATCATAACTAACATTTCTGAATAAGGATAGTTATTCTGAGCATGGTACACAAGTAGAAGGGAAACTTCCACCTGATTTCTGTTACAATTCCAAGTCCTGTTTTTGAATACTAGGAAGTTTATTGTGAAAAGGAGATGAAATATACTGATATATTTAGCACAGGTATTGAAAATCAGAACTAATTAATGATATCGAGCCATCGCATTTATTTCAAACTTCAGAAGTAAGTTGGAAGTTTTCAATAAGGAGTGTTTGTGATAGCATATGTGCAGTGTTGATTTTGTTCTCTGTTCCAGTTCCTCCCAACATTGCTGGTACTGGTGGGCCCCAGGATGTGAGTGTGCTGCAGAACAGACAGGTCATTCTGGAGTGCAAGTCGGACGCTGTGCCCCCTCCCACCGTCTCGTGGCTGAAGAACGGAGTGCTCCTGGAGGTACAGAGGTTCCTTGTTTGCACTGGCTCCCTGTAGCTGTTACACACAGTGCCTGAGGGTTCTTGCTCCTCTCACTCGCCCCTCCCGTGCAGCACATGAGCTCCAGAGAGCTGAGTAGCCCCAGCCCAACTCCAGGTAGCCCTGACTGAAGCCAGCAAACCTGTGAAGTGGCCATCCCGCTGTTACTTGTTCTTTTTTCCTTTAGGGGGATCCCTTGCTCCTCCTGGATCCTCTGAGCAATGCTAGAAGCCTTCGGTAAACTCCTGAATGGCTTCCCAGGAAAGGTAGCTGAGAAAAGACTACACTATATGTTTCCTTTGGCTATATTATGCATCCTCCTACTCTAGTAGCATTTAGAAAGGAACTGAAGTTCTTTCAAAGCAAATGGGTTGCTAATCACCACAGTTTTGTACCAAATGCATCTTTTCCACTCCGAATTCCATAGTGGAACCAGTCTTTGCTGGTTGAGAGACAATTAGCAGGAGGGGGATGGTTTATACAGAAAGAATTTTTTACTTCCCATCCTTGGGATCACTCACAAAACAGGTGCTACTCAACTGAACATTGAAGTTCAGTTATTGATTGAACTTATTTGATAATTTTCCCTCAGTTGATCTTTATTCTTTAATGAGGAAACAAATTCAGCTTATGAATTGTGTCTCCCTTAACTGTGATCCATCACTAAATCTTCACCCAAATTTCTCCTTGTTTGCTTTCCTTTTGACATACCATTCCTCAGACTCTTTCTCTAGTGTAAATTTAGAAGAATTAAATATTATTGGAAGAAGTAAGAATATGGTGGGTGAATATCTTACAAACTGCTGCTAGAGACTGTGATCTTGAATATGGCCCAAGAACCAGCTAGAAACAAAACTAACAGAAACCTGCTTCTGAACAGTTAATTTCTTAATTGAGTAGTGGGGGGTTTTATGAAAACAAGGTCTAACAAGGCTTGGAAATGAAATATATGAATACTTTTTGCCTTAAGTCTTCATTGGAAAGCTCGTGTTTTAAAAGCAGTACTTAATGAAAACAATGCATGAAAGGCAGCCACTGTTAAAAATATTCACCAAGGCTCAAAGCAGGAGAGGAAAGCTGTGATGGCCAGAGGTACTGAGCTGGGAACCTGGGAATTAGCTTTATAATGTGAGTTCTCCTCTTGCCTCGTGAATTGATGTCTGTATGTGAGGGCTGAGGCTTCTTGGGACCTCAAAGCCCATCTCATTCCAACTCTGCCATGGGCAGGGACTCCTTCCACTGTCCCAGGTTGCTCCAAGCCCCATCCAACCTGGCCTTGGACACTTCCAGGGCTGGAGCAGCCACAGCTTCTCTGGGCAACCTGTGCCAGGGCCTCCCCACCCGTGAGCCTGTGTGAAGATACATTCCAGATATCAGGAGAGCATCAGTGTCCTTCCCAATGCCTGGTTGCTTTCTCAACCTCAGGGAAATGTAATAGCCTTCTATTACTAAAAAGCTGGGAAAGGGGTGCCCTTGGTGTGGAAAGGGAGGTGCTTATTGACATATCATCCTCCTTATCCTGGAAATGTTGAGGTTTCACAGTGACAAGAGAAGTTTGGGGAAAGTCATGTTCTCAGGTTGCAGTGTTATTTCCATTTATATCATCACTGCTCTTTGGGAACAGCCTTGTGGTTTTTTTGTCTTCCACTGGGCAGATTTTGAGGTCTGCACTAGTATGAGGTCTGCTCTAGTCCCCTTCTGCACCCTAAATGATGGAATTGTGCTGCACCACCTTTTTTGGTAGCAGAATTGTGGGAAGATGTGGCCTCCAGCAGCTTTAGAGTCCTGACACTCTTCATAAATTTGGAAATGCACATTAAGAGTTAACACAAGATGTAAGCAGGAGCCTCTTGACCTAGTCTGGCTTTATTTAACTTGCTGAATTTGTGTTTTTTCCAAGATAGGTTTTCTAACACACTTAAGTAGAGCATAAGGATTAAATTATAGCTTTACCCCCTGTCTTCTGTCATCTATATGCCTCTGTATTTAGAAACCATCACATAGGCTGTGTTCTGAACAGGAAATACCAGTGATTACCCAAAATCTGTCTCTAATGCACTCTGGGGGTGACTCATGTCACCGGAGAGGTTCCAGCCCTGCTGTTTGTCCTGCACTGTAGGCCTGGGGCTGGTGTCTGGGATGAAACCAGTGTTCCAGGGTGCCAGTGTCACCTCTGTAGTGCTCTGCTCAGACCCTTAGGCAAAAGAGTAGATGGGAATGTCAGGTTTCAATTCTATCCACAGGGTGGGTAGCACACACTGGAAAAGCTTGAATTCCTGCTCTTTTTTCTCCTGGGTTGTATCCACTGAGGTCTTTGAGCACTTGTAGCTGATGTTACTGTCAGTTGTTCATGCAGATGTGACCCAGACTGGCTGTGGTAAGAAAGCTTTGACTGAACTGCCCTTGTGGCAGGGGCTGTGGAGTCACTGTAGGGCTGGGAAGAACTGCTGGATATCTGGATACAGAGCCTGTATCCAGAACTGTGGCTAGTGAACTCCTGGCTGGTGAACTTAGCTGGCTAAGTCTATCCTGGCTCCCACCTGAACAAGACTACGATGCTGGAAGAACAGTGTAGAGAAACTTGTATTCCTTCTGCCTGTAGCATGCATAGATTAAAAAATAATAATAAAAAACTGAATCCTGTGTTATTAGTTGCCCTTTTCTATAAAAACTCCCAAGCCCTTTGGCTGTATAGCCCAAAAGGCTGTCTCCTTCAGGCACGAGTCCCAGGAAGGGTTTCAAGGGGGAACCAGTGAGCAATGATAGTTTTTTAAAACTTTGCTTACCCTCTTATCTTGAGGGATGTAAATGAAGTTAAGCCAGCAATGAATTATCTATGCCCTTCTTTCGTGGTTTTCATTGCTCTGCAATGAGAGAATGTTCTGTCTTCACCAGGAAGCCAATGGGGAAGCTCTAAATGTGTCCATGTGTCTGTCTGTGCCCTCAGGGAACGCCGCGGGTCCGGATCCTGTCAGGCGGGCGGTACCTGCAGATCAACAATGCTGACCTGGGGGACACAGCCAGTTACACCTGTGTGGCCAGGAACGTGGCAGGAGAGGTGACCAGGGAGTTCCTGCTCACAGTGCATGGTAAAATCACAGATCAGCCTTCTGCACCTTCATCTTTGCATGGCATTTCTGCAGGACTTCAGGCAGCAGGAAGCAAATATTAGTGGTCTTTTTCTAGCCACATGTTGGCCACTCAGGCCATGCCTAAACTGTGGGACTGTGAGTGTGGTCTCATGTCTGAGTCCACAGCTGTCCCCAGACTAAAGGACCTGTTGAGGTCTCCCCATGGCTCACTCTCCATCTGTCTGTGCTTCCTGCTAATGGAGCTGCATCTGGCCATCATCCTGATAGGGAGTCAGGATACATCCAGAGTGAACCCCCAGATACAGGACTGAGAAATGCTCCTGGGCAAATTCAGAGAGATTCTTTTGAAAGCATTTCACTGGCCCCTTGAGGACAGGGTCTCACAGCTGGCTTGGCCACTGGTTTGGAAGGTTCCTTGAAACCTGTAGCAGCTTCTCTGCACCTGCAGCAGGAGAGGGCAGGGCCTGAGGGGCCCTGTGCTTGATACTTGTCCTGTGCTACCACAACCCTGAGCTCCATTTTAGACCTGTTTATTTTCTCACCTCCAGTCTGATAAGAAACTCTTCTGCTCTCACACTGGGGTGATGAGAAGGAGTTTTTTCCCTGTTTCTGTTTGATTCCCACCCTATAACTCGCAGAGCTGACCTTTGCAGTGCATTTCAGCCAATGTTTCTTTCTCCTCCCCTGCTGCGCTGTGGCAGTTACCGTGTGCTGCCCAAAATGGTAAGAAACTTGTTCCTGCCTTTGCAGTGATCCCAAACCTGCTGCTGCCTCTGTTTTCATGTGTTTAGTTTCAATCATTGCAGTGTAAAGTTATTTTCTTTGCATCATCAGCAGTTTTCCCTCTGCAGTGGCTCCCACGATCCGGAGTGGTCCCCAGACCGCCGTGGTGCACATCAATGCCTCTGCCCTTCTGGAGTGTGCTGCACGAGGGGTCCCAGCCCCCAGAGTCACCTGGAGGAAGGATGGGGCTGTTTTTACTGGAAACAATACAAGGTATTGTCCAGAAGTCAACATAAATGTTCCTCATTGCTATTTAAGAATGTATTCGTTACGGAAAGTGTAATTAGACATCAATGACTTAGAAAGCAATTTTGTTTTCACAGATCAGAACTAATATTTTTACTCTCAAATGTGGAAAAATAACAGTGATAGGAAGTGTAATGTCATAGAATCAAAAAATCACAGAAGGGTTTAGGTTGGAAGGGACTTTAAAGACCATCTTGTTCCAACCCCCTGCCAAGGGCTGGGACCAGAAGTTGTTCTACAGAAAAGTAGCAGTACCAAAGGTTTCAGCCTTTTATTGTTAAGGACAAAAACCCCCTCCTTTTAGAGCTAAATGTAATAGTAATTCTTCTAATATTGAAGGTTTTGAACACTAAATGTGAATGATCTTTATATTTTTATATATATATATATATATATATATATATGTATGTATATATATATATGTATGTATATATATATATATGTATATATGGAGTTTTGGGATGAAGAAAAGCAATTTCATGTAGGCCAAAAGCTACTGGAGTGTATTCTGTATTTTCTAATACATAAAACTTTTCATACATGTTCTAGTACCAACTTCTATACCAGTGAATGGTTTCTATCTTCTGACTGTTTTAAAGGGAAGCAGTTTGGCATTTTCTAGAACTGAGCAAATGTAAGGAATTCAGTTACATTTCGAAGGAAAAGTACAAGCATTAATTAGGGTTTATTAAGGTTAAATGAGAAACTATAAAAAAGGAGTTTGGCCATTTTCTGTAAATCCAGTATCATTTATGTGAAATCACTATGTCAGCTAGATTTCATCATTCCTCTGGGGAAGAGTGAAGTCAGAATAAGTGCAATAAAGGAGAAAACTCCATGTGGAATTGAGACACCCCGTGTTCAGGCCACTGGTTGTGTCCTGAGTCATCTTTCCTCAGCACTGCCAGGATAACCCGTGGCCCTGTTGGTTGGAGAGTGGACAGCAGTGTTTGGCTTTGTTTCAGGTACTCCCTGTTGGAGGATGGGTCCCTGCACATCCCCTCAGCACAGGTTGCTGACACCGGCAGATACGTGTGTATGGCCACCAACAGCGCCGGCACCGAGCGCAGGAGGATCGACCTGCAGGTCCTGGGTAAAACTGGGGCCTTACAGCTCTGAAATACACTTATATCCATTTTAAATTAGCCCCTTTTTAGCTGCATTGCTAAAAACAAACAGAGAAGAAATGTCCAGCCTTAGGAATATAACCCAAGACCTGACACATCCCATGCTACCTGTTTAGTAGGTTTGTTACTGTCAAGTTATTCCTTATAAAAATTAAGTCAATGTGTTCAGACAGTTCAGCTCAATATATTTAGATGTGAGAGAGATGTATGGGCATATATATATCTCTATATAATTATTCTGAATAATTAGGCTTTGTTTGTCCTTAGTTCCTCCAGCTATTGCTCCTGGGCAGACGAATATCACAGTTACTGTGAATGTGCAAACCACTCTGCCTTGTGAAACCACTGGAATTCCCAGACCAGCAATTAGCTGGAAGAAAAACGGGCACCTGCTTAGTGTTGACCAGAACCAGAATACATACAGGTGAGAGGTGTTTTCTTTTCCCTGTGGGTTTAAAGTTTTTAGGGATGATTTTGGCACTTTAAAAATTTAGCCATGTATAAATGTAATCTTATGTAGCCAGCAAATTCAGTGGGCTGATGACCTGAAAAGGAGTGTTTCAATGGCTTTCACTTTCTTTTTTCTTTGTTCAGACTTCTGTCTTCAGGTTCCTTAGTAATCATTTCTCCCACTGTGGATGACACTGCTGTCTATGAGTGCTCTGTGTCAAATGATGCAGGAGAAGATCAAAGAGCAGTTGAGCTCACTGTTCAAGGTAGAGGGGATATTGCTGTTACATGTGTGTGGCACCCAGAATTTCTGTTGAGATGAGATTTTTATTTCATTTCTTTATGATACTGATATCCATAAGTCTCTGGTATTCCCAAGAAAGATAATTTATTTCCAAGAATTTATAAAAGTGAACGTGGGCAAGTAACCTTTGCACTGCTGTTCATTTCCAGTGCCCCCATCTATAGCAGATGAAGCCACAGACCTTCTGGTAACAAAGCTGTCCTCAGTCCTGATTTCCTGCACTGCCTCTGGAGTTCCTGTCCCCTCGCTCCACTGGACCAAAAATGGCATAAAGCTGCTTCCCAGAGGAGATGGGTACAGAATTCTCTCCTCAGGTACTGTGCTGCAGAGAACCAGTGGGAGGGTACAGTTGGGCACATCTTGATGTAATTAATTACCTCAGTGCAAACAACCCCCCAGAATCCCCTCTCCGATATCTCAGAATAAAAATATGGCCCTCCTGGGAGGGATGCTGAGGGAGAAGTGTGTGAGTAGAGGATGCAGCTTGTGTTTGATGCTGTCTGTGCCCCAGGAGCTGTGGAGGTGCCCTCTGCCCAGCTGGCCCACGCGGGCCGGTACACGTGCGTGGCCCGGAACGCCGCCGGCACTGCCCACAGGCACGTCACGCTGCACGTACAGGGTAAGGGGGGCTGCCAGCACACAGTGCTCACTCAGCCTGCTCAGGTTATGCACTTTTAGTTATCTTCTGTATTTTTCTAGCCTTGAAGGTTCAGCCTGTTGCCTTTCCCTTTTTGCACAGAGCCACCAGTTATCCAGGCTCAGCCAGGGGCGCTGGATGTCATCATGAACAACCCCATCGTGCTGCCGTGTGAGGCCACGGGCACCCCTCAGCCCGTGATCACGTGGCAAAAGGAGGGCATCAACATCATCACCTCAGGTATCCTAACCCTGGAACTCAACCTGCTTGCTGTGACTCAGGCACTGACATTCTTGTTTCTGATGTGCAGGCTTGGGTTCCTCCTGTCTATTCGTTTAAAAACAAAAACCAAACCCAAAGGGTCATACGTTGCTTATATTTGTTTTAGGCAACAGTTACATGGTTCTTCCAAGTGGCAGTTTGCAGATTGCCAGAACAGCTGTGGAAGATGCTGGCACTTACATGTGCATTGCTCAGAATCCAGCTGGCACTGCTCTGGGGAAGATCAAACTGAAAGTTCAAGGTAAATCATCTTTAAACTCTTTCTGTTGGTCCAAACACAATTCTGAGCAATTGAAAGGGACCTGGTGCTTTCCTGTTTGCCATGACACTGAATAGAGCCCAAGAGGTTTATTCCCTTTAGTTCTGTGTTTACTTTAGGATCAAAATATGCTTTTAGGAGTATTTTCACTGAGAACAAAAGCATTCCATGTTTCTAATTCTTTAAGTAATTTCTTAATTCCTTTCAGTTCCTCCTGTTATCAAGTCCCACCCGAAGGAATATGTTGTTCCCGTTGATCAGTCTGTCACTCTGCAGTGTGAGGCTGAGGGCTCCCCTGGGCCGGAGATCAGCTGGCACAAGGATGGGCAGCAGATCCTGGAGTCGCTGAGGAGGAGGGTGCTGAGCACTGGTGCCCTGCAGATCGTGTTTGTGCAGCCTGGGGACAGCGGCCGCTACACCTGCACAGCCACCAACGCGGCGGGGTCCAGCTCCTCCAGCACCCAGCTGGCTGTGCACAGTAAGGCATTCCTGCTGGGATGGGGAGCCACTGCAACGGGGGTCCAGGGAGGGTGTCGACTCCCCATCCCTGGAGGTGTCCAAGGGCAGGTTGGACGGGGCTTGGAGCAACCTGGGCTGGTGGAAGGTGTCCCTGCCCAGGGCAGGGGGTGGAATGAGATGAGTTGGAAGATCCCTTCCAACCCAAACCATTCTGGGAATCTCTGATAAGTGGAATAGCAGGGAAACGATGTGTGACCCCATGGAAAGTAAGGAGCTGGGATGAACAGGAGGAGTTCAGGAAAATTGTGCAACTTAACAGGGGAGTGTTACTGGGTTGTAGTATCAGCCAGTTGCTTGAATTTAGGAATGTGGTCATTGGTGGTGTCACTGATGGAGATGGACAATACAGGAGATCCAGGCAGTGTTCCCTTCAGTCCAGTGTTGCCTTTACAGGAGTGCTGGGATAATGCACAGAGGTAAATCTTTGTAATAAACCTCTCCACAGTTCCCCCCAGGATCCGCAGCACGGACACACAGTACACGGTCACGGAGGACTCCCAGGCTGTCCTGTCCTGTGTGGCTGATGGGATTCCAGCACCAACAATAAACTGGAAGAAGGACAACATGCTGTTAACAGAGATAGTGGGAAAATACCAGACTGTGCCGGGTGGAGACCTCATTTTGGACAATGTTGTTGTAAGTTCCCTCAATCTAAGCTATTACTGGACAGGTTTGGCAGTGATAAAATCCACCTCTGGATTAGCCAAAGTTTTATTTTGATTTCTTGTTCCTAATATTACAAAGTCTTTATGAAAGTTTTGTTTTCCACTGAGGAGTAAAATCTGTGAAGAATTTGTAGTGGTGAATTCTCAGGAATGGTGAAAAGAAGTGTTGGTCATACTTCAAAAATTTAGAGAAGTGAAAGAGCTCAGCTGAGCATTTCTGCTGAATGCTTGTTCCAGACTTTTGGAGATTCTCTTCCTGCTAGGAGTTGCAGTGTTGTGTAGGATATATCACAGCTGAAATTGCCCCCACATGTTTCCTTGCAGCCTGAAGACTCTGGCAGTTACACCTGTGTGGCTGCCAATGCTGCTGGGGAGGACACACACACGGTCACCCTGACAGTCCATGTGCTGCCAGCCTTCACTGAACTGCCTGGAGACGTAGCTTTGACCAAAGGAGAACAGCTCAGGTTAACCTGCAAAGCAACTGGGAGACCTGTACCCAAAATAACATGGACCTTCAACAATAACATCATTCCAGGTGGGTAACACCAGGTCCCTGGTGGCCATTCTGCTCCAGAGTTTTCTCCCATGTAGCATTGCAGGTAGTTTAAGGTAAGGAAGAAGAAAAATCTAGAGGGAATAAGCTTGTTAGTGATTGCGTGAGGAATATCTTCACTGTTATGCAATCATATAATTAAATGGCCTCTGAGACAAAGCTGTAAGGAAAATAATTAAGAAATTGTTCCTCTTCTATAGCCAATAATGTAGCACATTAAAACACTCAGTATCTGATGATGCTTACTCAGCATCCAGCAACTAATAAACAAAACTAAGGAACAACTTCAGTGAACAGATGCCTGTGGGCAAATGTCATAGCAGTGGCTTTCTGTGCACTCCTGGGGTGTCTCAGAACTGCAGTGTCACGGGGCCCTGAGCAGTGCTGCTGAACAGAAACCCTCTGGCCTGTGTGTGTGAGGCCTGGCAGTGACCCTGTCCCTGTGCTCCCCCAGCTCAGTACGACGATGTCAATGGACACAGCGAGCTGCTCATCGACAGGGTCTCCAAGGACGACTCTGGCACCTACGTGTGCACAGCAGAGAACACAGTGGGCTCCATCAAAGCCATTGGCTTTGTGTATGTCAAAGGTATGTGAAGTGCCAGCAGCTGTGGGCACTGTTGGGCAGTTTCACAGAGCCAGCTGTTTGGAGAGTGGAGTTGGAATGCTTTGGGTTGGAAGAGTCTGTAAAACTCACCTCATTCCACCCCCTATCCTGGGCAGGGACACCTGCCACTAGCCCAGGTTGCTCCAAGCCCTGTCCAACCTGGCCTTGGACACTTCCAGGGGCAACCACAGCTTCTCTGGGCAACCTGTGCCAGGGCCTCCCCACCCTCACAGGGAACAATTCCTTTCCAATATCCCATCTAACCCTGATTTCTCTCAGTTTAAAACCTTTCCCCCTAGCATTTGATGCCTCATCTATGGCTAAATGGGAAACACTGAAACAGGTTGAAATTCCCACTTCAGAAAGTCCGAGGTGAATGATCCCAACCAGCAATCTCACTGAGTGCATTTTATTTTGCTCTGCTCTTTCCTGGCCATCCCTGGTGTTCCAGAGCCCCCAGTGTTCAAGGGGGATTTCCACTCCAGCCGAATCGAGCCCTTGGGGGGCAATGCCATGTTGAACTGTGAGGTCAGGGGAGATCCCCCTCCAACCATCCAGTGGAGCAAGAAGGGAGTTGGGGTTCAGATCAGCAACAGGATCCGACAGCTTATCAACGGTTCTCTCGCCATCTACGGCACCGTGGTGAGTCCTGCTCTGCTGCCAGGGGCTTCTGCCTTGTACTTGTATTACTCAAAGTGTTCCAAATCACATCATTTGGAAAGAGTGAGGCTACACATTTAATCCACTTTTGCTTTTACCTTTAACTAGTGTTTTAATTCAGGCTAGAATTAGACTCGAAGTACTGAGACCAAAAAAGAACAGGGGGTCATAGTTCTCTTTGGTTGTTGGAAGAACTCAATCTATGTGCTAATTGTTGGTGTGCTGGTCGTGCCCAATTAAATGGGACTTTTGCTTTTAACCTTAGAAGACCCTGGATTCTACAAAGTCAGGTCAGCAAGTGCATTCTCCTTGTGCAAATACCTCAGCATCTAAATTCCTAATACGAAGAATAAGGCCTTTTTTTCCCCCATTAACTCTTGTCTGTGTTTTGAAATGGGGTTAAAAACAGCAACTCCCTTGAGTTTCTTTAAGTTTAAAAAATTAATTTGATCATCAGCATGAAGGAGTTGAAGGAAATTAGAAATGGAATAATAAAAATAATGCACCACATCAGCTTACTGTTAATAAAGGCAAAACGTTGAGGATCTAACAGCAGAGCCCTTCAGATCCAGGGAGTGCTGCCTTGAGTCACAGAAAGTTCCCCCTCCGGAGGGGCTCTGAACAGTGACCCTGTTTTGTTCTCCAGAACGACGATGCTGGTGACTACAAGTGCGTGGCTACCAACGAGGCCGGGGTGGTGGAGCGCAGCCTGACCCTCACGCTGCAGAGTAAGGCTCAGGGAGGGGCAGTGCCACAGGTGGGGTCATCACCTGCCCATGGGTAGTGGAGGCAGCTCCCAGGAAGGTTTGTAGGTTAAGACTTGTCTCATCTTTCATAAAGTCGTAGAAGGGCTTGGGTTGGAAGGGACTTTAAAGATCACCTGCCATGGGCAGGGACACCTTCCACTAGACCAGGTTGCTCCAACTTGGCCTTGAGACTTCCAGGGATGGGGCAGCCACAACTTCTCTGGGCTGTGAGAATTTTCATCATGAATATTTAAGTGTCTGGTCTAAGCTGTGATTAAAGTTAAAGAAGAGAAGGATGCAGAAGGGGATTGAGACTCATCTTAGAAACCAGCTTTGAGCAGAGCGACTTCAGGCCTTCTGAAGGGCCTGTTTCTCTTGGTTAACTAGAGAGGATTTCTACAACTGGATTGAACTAGACCCTCAGCTTCTAAAGTAAGAAATTTATGGGAGATGAATCACAGTTTTTAGTGACGATGTTTTGTTTTTGGCAGAAATAATATGGTAGAATTTTATTTTTTTTTTTGCTACTGGGAGAATTTCTAAACATCCCCTTCCTACTGTAGTCTCAAGCACCGTGGGTCTGTTACTTATGTCTTAGTTGCTTCTGGACATGATTAACAGTATCGTCCTGTTTTATAAAAAACCCCACATTTTAGCAATGAAGATGACCGTGTGCTCTTATAGTGGGACCCCAATCCCAGCTTTGGTCCTCAGATGTTAAACCATGTTAAACTGGCCTATTGTGTGCATTGTAACATGTGTCTGTTTGGTGGCACCTGGGGACATGGTTTAGCGGTGAACATGGTGGGTTGATGGTTGGACTTGATCTCAAAGGTCTTTTCCAGCCTTAAGGATCCCGTGATTCTGTTTTACCTGTGGAAGAGCAAGAATAATAATTATAGTCGAAGTGAACTGACTTAAGGTTTCTTTGTGCCCGCTCTGCCCAACCCTTTGACCTGAAATCAGTAGGGAGCTGTATGCAGTGCTGTTGCCTGAAGATCTGTCCCTTGCAGGCCCCCCGGTGATCACCGTGGAGCCCGTGGGCACCGTTGTGGACGCCGGTGCCACGGCCCTGCTGCACTGCCAGGCCCGGGGGGAGCCTGCCCCTGCCATCAGCTGGTCCCGGCAGGGCCAGCCCGTGGTGGGTGACGACAGGGTGGCCGTGCTGTCCAACGGGTCCCTGCGCGTGGCGGCCGCGCGGCGCGAGGACACGGCCCCGTACGAGTGCGTGGCCAGGAACCTCCTGGGGTCCGTCCTCGTCAGAGTGCCCCTCACCGTCCAGGGTACGTGCACAGCCCAGCCAACCGTGGCTCCACACCAGGACATTACAGCCTTCCCTGAGGGCCAGTGGGGCCAAGATTTTATCCTACCCACATTTTATGGATAAGAGATTCGATCTTATCTTCCTTATGAGGTCTAAGTTAAGCCTTGTCTGAGATGTCAGTGGGATTCTGTTTCATGACGTTTGATTCCATTATACTCATCGTGCTGGGGGAGGCAGAGGGTGTGGAGTGAAAGACATAAATAATAATGGAGAGGGTGTTGAACCCATGCTCAGAACACATCACTGAACTGTGCCTCTAAAGAGCAGCCTTTAGGAGCATAAGCAGTAATTGTCTGTGAGCTGCAGGAAGATATTTTTGCAGTAGTGAAGACATGAAGTGAGTTTGATTTCCAAGGATGGCTCAGGGAGAGCATTTTTCACTCATCTAAGAGAGTTTTAAGCACAAGCACGTTCCAAGCAGCCTCCCTGTTCCCCTGCAGTGCACGGAGGGTTCTCCCCCTGGCTGGAATGGCGGGCGTGCAGCGTCACCTGTGGCCAGGGGGTGCAGGAGCGGGTCCGGCAGTGCAACAACCCCCTCCCGGCCAACGGGGGCAGGACCTGCGAGGGGCCCGTCACCGACGCGCGCAGCTGCCACAGCAGGCCCTGCCCAGGTACTCCCTCTGCCACAGCTGGAATCCCACAGTGGCCCGGGTTGGGAGGGACCTCAATGACCATCCCATTCCACCCCTGCCATGGGCAGGGACACCTTTCACTAGCCCAGGGTGCACCTGGCCCTGGACACTTCCAGGGATCCAGGGGCAGCCACAGCTTCTCTGGGCAACCTGTGCCAGGGCCTCCCCACCCTCACAGGGAACAATTCCTTCCCAATATCCTGTCTACCCCTGCCCTCTAGCAGTTTAAAACCACTCCCCCATGTCCTGCCACTGTCTGCCCATGTAAAAAGTCTCTCTCCCTCTGTTTTATAAGCCCTGTTAGAGTATCAAAAGGCCACAGTGAATTGATATTTTTAGTGTGCCTTGTGTTGTGTCCAGGCAATGAATGATCACCATCACAGATCTTCATGGCAGATTCATTTTTCTAAGCAGTTGGAACTGATTGTGTCTTTCATGTAAAGAAAGAGGAATTTTCATTAAATACCAAAAACTGTTGTTTAAAGAAAACTGGGGGTGTCTCTGTTTCCCAGTGGATGGCAGCTGGTCGGAGTGGGGGCCGTGGGAAGAGTGTTCCAAGAGCTGTGGACAGGGCAACAGGACCAGGAGCAGGACCTGCAGTGCCCCCCCGGCCCAGCACGGGGGACAGCCCTGCAAGGGCAGTGCTGTGGAGTCAGTCATGTGCAATGTCAAGCCTTGCCCAGGTAAGACATGAGGAATTTAAGTTATTTGCACAAGGGGCGTCATATATACATTTCTTTTTTTCTCCAAACCCAAATTCTCTCAGCTTATTTAAGTTGGGATTGTTTTTTTTGTTTTAAAATTGGTTGTAATTCACTGAATGGCACTAGTTCTTGGAAACAGAAATCACAAAAGTAACGGCAAGGAATATTCTCAGCAATTTCTTTTTTTTTTTACATCACTAAAAAGTAAATTTTGTATTTTGATGTTTTCCAGTACTTGATACTCACATTCTCACAGAGTAAATTCACTGCTCTCAACCTCTTCTGCAAAGCCAGTTAAAAAAAAACCAAACCCAAATCACCAACTATTTAAAAACCATGTAAATAATGATCATTGGTAATTTATTACTTTATCTGTATATTTTCCTCTGTTGTTTTAATTTTCAGCCACATCTTCCTGCTAACTATTTGAATGTTCAGGTTTCCTTCCTGTCTCATTACTTCCTATGTTGGAGAGGTTGTAGTTTATTCAGAACCTTCACCACTGAGAGGTTCCCTTCTGTACAATTTTCACTGTATTGATTTTTCCCTTTTTCCTGAACTCATGATTCCAAATGTTCATCCATGGGCCTGAGGCTTATTTCTCTAGATTTTGGCAGCAGAATCAGCTCTGGCTCTGGAGCTGTGTGCCAGCTTTGGCCAGGCTCAGACCTCCAGCCCATCCAGGGAACTTGGGAGATGCCAGATTTGATCAATGTTCACAGGATCACAGCTATGCTGATTTGGAAGGGACCCACAAGGACCATCCAGTCCAGCTCCCAGCCCTGCACAGACACCCCAACAATCCCACCCTGTCCCTCAGAGCATTGTCCA